CTACTCATTCTTAGTTAGCTTGAATAGATATCTTAGACATTTATTTATTATATAATCGGCGTTGCTCTATATGCCTCCTTCTCTTCTTATTGAATATTATATATCTTATCTAGTCCCCACCAGTACCCGTACTAGCCCCGTAATAAATAAAGAGATTTAAAATAATAATAATTATTATTTATTAATTATAAAATCTAAAAGCTTTGATTAAATAAAAAGTAATAAAAAATTTAATTAATTAATATATATAATATATTATTATTATTTATTTGAGATATTTCGATTTTAGTAAATATTTAGTTTATATTATATCTTATTCGTTTTTAAAAATAAATTTATTAAACTTGAAGATTCAAAACTTCAATTATATTATTTTATATATTTTAGATTTAATTAAGCTATTATATTATATTAAATAATGTATTAATAAGATTTAGAGAAGTTTATTATATAGAATGAGAATAGAAGAACTGAGTTGTATAACTAGGCACTTTTCGGCGTATCGGTATAAAAATACATTGAAAACGACAAGGTTGAAAGGAAATGTCTTGAAGAGAAAATTCCGCCTCTTGATAGAATGTTTTGTTGGTATGGATGTTTAGTTTTCGAACCGAGAAAGATAGAATAGAATAATCTGCAACGTAACTCTGCGCCAACCGTAAGTTTACACACGAAAAACCTATACTGAAGTGTGCTGGTCAAACAGATTTGAGATTGGGCAAATTTACGTTTTGTTATATATCAATATCAATATCAAGATCATATCCAAAGATATCACTAACTAGCTCCGTCCCACCTGAAATTGTGCCTCTATCACTACAAGTGATTCAATGTATCATAGATCCGAGATACTCAATATCATATCGATGTGATTTACGGAAAGTGGCATATTTTCCTCCCTTGCGAGCGATACCGCACACGAAACTGCGTTTTTGATTTGTCGTCCATTCAACTCATGCTTGGCAAATTTCTCAATATCGACCGAGTCTATGGTAGCGTTTCCGGTTTTTTTGGCGACAGTATCAATAAAATTAGTCCAAACTGTCAAGCGGCTCGTTTCAGTAAGATCAGGATAGTGAAGAGAGAAGTGAATGCGACCTATTCACGTATTAGATCAAATGTTTTCCTGATAGGGATGTTACATACTTTGAAAAGCCGGATCGATTTCTGACTTTCGATTTGTGGTCAAGATCAAAACACCCCGGAAGTATTCAAGCCTCCGCAGGAAAATACTGACAAGGGTATCGCGAGCAAGGTCAACTCCTCGTGTTGCAAGAAATACGTCCGCTTCGTCGATGAGTAAAACGCAATCCCATCGTCTACTGATCTCTAATATCGTACCCAAGCGCCGATCGACGACGTCGGCATCAATACCAAGTTCTCCCGTACTGACTTGGTACAACGGGCGGGAGGTTACTTCAGCAACAGCCTCAGCAGTCAGAGTCTTGCCAACACCAGGGCTACCGCTGAGCAATCCAACAAGACCCTTCCCTTTATTTTCAATTATGTCATCAAAAGTGGCATCGTCTTGTCGGTGGGATCTGACCAATGCGTGGATCAACTTTCGTCTAGTCTCATGAATGACGAGCTTCTTGAAAGCATCCTCATTCCAAACGATGTCTGTCATGCCACTGACAGAAAACTGACCCCAAGTCTTGTGCGTCAAACTGAAGCCATTGATCCAGTTGGCGCAAAGTAGTAATTGGTCATCTCGTAAATCCAAATCTTTCCCAGTGATAAAGTATTCCCTGTTGATATATGGGAGACTTAGATCCGAAGTCCAGCCAACATTAGAGCGGAATGCCTCCGGATCCACCATGATACGGCCACGAAACTGGTAGTTTGTTAGTCTAAGAATCATGAGAAGAATTAGCGACATACGTTAGCCTTTTGCACCTTGGTCCTTCCGTCTGCAAATTCATTATCTTTCACACCAAATGTGATAGTGTACTCTTGGCACATGGGGGATGATCGTATCAAGGACAAGTACTTACGCCCTCGTTGGATCAATTTCTCTCGAGTAGTATCTTGGTCTGGATCATAATGAAGGGGGTATGCTTGTAACGAAGTGATTTTCTTTACACCATCGAAATCGTCTATCTCGGTGTCTAAGAAACCATAGCCGAAATCTTCTCCATCGTGGGAAATTATGCTACTATGGAGCTGGAAGTATCTCATGCCATTATCTCTTTTTCTATAGGTCCCACTGACAAGAGCCATTGCTTGCATCTGGGATGTAAGACCCTGTTGCATAGAGACCAGGAGGTCTTTTGGCTTCATGATGGTCCACAACAGGTCGAATGAAATTTCTCCATTTTTAAGCAGTGAATCCAGACTTTGCATTTGATGAGCGAAGTCTTCATCTACAAATCGTAGCGCTGTACCAATATCATTAATCAAACTTTGATTTGGTTCGTCTTTTTCTTTCTCTTCCGATTTCCTGGAGATTAGGCCATCTTTGGCATAGAAAAGTAACTCGGGATCACACTGGTTCGTATTAGCCTTTGTGCCAACCTTTGCAAAGGTTTGCGAACCGTCGGAGGAGTCTTGTTTAGACTAAGTCCTTCTACTCCATCAAATATATCCAAAAGTATGTCTCTAAGCCAGATCGATTTAATATCCACCTCGGTGCTTGCAAGCATGCCTGAATCTTCATCAATAATTTCGCTGAGTCCATCGAGCGGGGCAAAGCTTGCCTTGTCTTGATATAATGCGACGTACAACCAGTGCTGTTTTCCCAAAACGATCTGGTTTGACTGTGGCCTTTGCAGTCTTCACGAAGTGTATCTGCCGGTCCTTTCTGCGGAAGTGTTGGTAATGGTCGGTGGGTTAAGGGCGACGGAATGTATACCTGCTATAACTATTTCGCAGATATTGTCAGCTATTCAACATCTCACATGCCTGAAAACACTCCTAACTCACATCTGGTCTACGCGCAAGAGTCTCTGGGCTTGATTATCCTGAGCGGTTTGTGCCCGTTTGATGCCGACATTGGGAGGCTCTGTTTGGTCGTCCGTAGGCGCCGTATTAATTGAAGACGCCATCATGAATTCTGTATTGGTTTAACTATAGCACCGAATCCGTGGTAGATCACAAGCTGATAGCAAATACGAGAAATCGCGAAAGAGAGAGAGAGTGAAAGTCAAGATGGCTTTCGAGATGTGAAATGATAGAAGAGAAAGTAACCTAGGCTTATTTTGAATTTCAGATTGGGCCTGCGTCTCACGTAGAGCAGGCATACTATCTGTAAAGATGATAGATGGGGGCCAGAAGTATCAATTCATTGAGCCCATCTTAAAATGGAGTGATACGGCTATAATGCATGTTGGAGGTATTGGGCTTTTGTCGACATATCCGATACTTTAAAGCCATTTCCCCTTCATCCTTTCTCCCTCTCATTGTGTCAAAATCATATTGACGATACTGTTACATAGTATGAATTTACCGGTAGCCCAAATGTTGTTGATCGATAGAAAAAGCCTCAAGCAGCCTGTGCTCAGCTACCCCATTCTTCAGTGAATATCGCCCCAATTTTAAGGGCGAACTCCCACTTCTTGCTTGCTCGTCAAATCCTATTGCGATCCGTCCCACCATGTCTATTGTCGACATGTCAGCGCTAATGCTATGCCCTGTCTGTATACACTGCGGTGATTCGTTATCAACACCGTAATCTGTAGTACAGAGTAAGCTTTGTACGACTATATCACCGAGACGCAAGAATGCATCCTTCAAAGTTGAAGTGTTCTACGAGTAGTCTTGTCTGAATCTAGATCACGATGATAGAGTCTCAACTCTACCTAAGTAAGTCTATGAAGAGAGATTAATTTCAAGAGAAAAAAAAACAAAGATTTGAGAGTTATAAGTCGCCATGCCTCCAAAACCCAAGATGCCACCGCAAAGAACAGTGTATGATCCTTTGATGGCAGTGGAAACCATGACGCTAATTCAAAAACCAGATCATTCAAACCTCAGGTGAAAAAGGATGCGTCGCCTTTCAATCGTGCACTTGAGGAGTATATCAGGCGAAGGGGGAAGAAGAGCAAGACCCCCCAGTTCATCGCCGACTTGCAAAATACACAGAAGCTTCCTACCAAGCAAGATGTAAACAATGCGATGAAACAGCTCGAAAAAGACACCACGGACTCTGCAGTAACGCGAAACATCAGAAAAATATTGAGACCGGTGATCACAGTACTTGATGACTATTCAGCTGTAGTCGATACTATGAGTAGGTCAAATGTCATGGGAACATCGAGCAAATGATTTACAAGATTTAGGTAATGCTGACCCCATGCCAACGGCAATAATTTGGGGCTGTATGAAGGTCGTAATTACTGTGAGTATCTATGTCAAATAGCTAGCAATATTCACTGATAATTCGAGAGACTTCCCAACGATATTTGAATCTTTACGACGATATCAAAGAACAACTCGATGATATCACCCTTCAACTGAACGTGCTCACGGAGTTCGAGGAGCTGTTTGGAGAATCAAAAACTATGCAAGAATTACTTCAGATGACATATATCGATATTATCAGGTTTTGGGTTCGAGTGGACAAAGAATGTCATCGATGTGGTTTGTGTCTTGCAAAATTCCGATGTTCTTCTTGTGACTAATCTTTTGAAGTTGCCAATAGAATGAGCAGAGCACTGTCTTCATTCAGCACCTCAAAATTAGATGCCATCATACAGGATATTGAAAAGAATACTGATCGGGTCAGCAAGTTGGTTCCTATTGTACAAGAGCGAGTCCAAAAGGGTGAGCGGGAGGATGCCGTAGAGGAGAGACGACTGGCAGGCATGGCTCGAGAACAGCAAAGCGCATTTATCGAGCAACAACTAGAGGAGATGAAGCTGAGAGCCATCGCAAGAAGATGTGCGTGTGCACCACAAAACGTTCGATGGCTGTTTTACTGACAGAAAATACAGGTGGACGTCAAAAGGATGTGAGAAATTGGTTACGAGGTCATTCAACCCTCAATGAAAGCAATTTCCGCCGCCAAGAACAGTATATGAAGAGACGGAGCCCAGACACCTGTTCCTGGCTTTTATCTCATCAGACATTCGAGGATTGGAAGAACCCAGATGCAAATTGCTCCATGCTTTGGGTAAAGGCAGCTCCTGGAGTTGGGAAATCTGTCCTCTGCTCTTATGCGATCCAGAAAACGCTCGAGGCCAACTCATCTGGTTGCTCTTTGCATCAATACTATTCATTCGATGAGGTTTTCTCTTCCCTTCAGGTGTATTGTTCGATAGCTGAACAGCTCGCCAATCGTTTATGGACCTATCTCGAGGATATGCCAGAAGACATTCATACATTCACACAGCGGACAACTACTGCGTCCACAACTGAGGATGTGAAAACCTTTATTCGTATGAGTTTAAGCTGCCTCCCTATATCTTATCTATTTCTCGATGGTCTTGATGAGGAATGTGATGCTGGCCTTCGTTGGGAGGCTATGTCTGATGCTTTGAGATTTTTTATTGAGCTCACCGGCGATAAATCCTACAAGTTTAAGCTATGGTGCAGTAGTCAAGATCGAGCCGATCTTAACCCATATTTGAAGAATTTTGCCGCGATTGAAGTTACTAAGGATATAAATAGTGCTGATATTGAGCTTTATCTATCGAAGTCGATCCTGAAACTTGACAGTCTGGATATTGATGAAGGCTATCAAAATTTGATTCTCCAAGACCTTCGTCAGAAAGCGGATGGATGCTTTTTATGGGCATCACTTATGCTAGACTCCGTCTCGAGTGCAGTGACACTGTCAGCTGTGCAAACTCAAGTTCAAGAAGGCTTACCAAAAGACTATGAAAACTATTACCAGAATAAGATAGACAAAATCGAAGCATCACAAAAGATATTCGTATCGTGAGTCTTATAACATCCATGAGAAGATATTACCTTACTAAATACAACCTTTAGGAAGCTTCTTGCATGCATCGTCTATGCGAAACGGCCACTGCGACTGGACGAGCTATGTGAATCCATCGCGGTTCTTGATACATCAGATTGTGAAAATTTCGACAAGTCACAGAAATTGTTCAGAAAAATGATTTTGAAATTGTGTGAGCCTTTGGTTCAAATCGAAGATCTTGACACAGCGCATGGCCAAATTTCAACATGCACTCTCACGCACGGTTCGGTACGACAATTTCTCGTAAAACATCCACAATGTTTGAGCACATCACAGGCATTGGCATGTGAGATTACGGAAGAAGTCATGGCTAATGTTTGCTTAAAATATCTATGGCAATCGCGTTACCAGCGATTATTGACTCAATCCAAAGACACGTTCGAAGATTATACAGGTGAAGATGTGATGGAACATCATATGCTTTCTTATGCCGCCAAATATTGGGATAAGCATCTTGATGGAGTTACATACACCGCTGAGATATGCTCGAGAGTGCAGAGCTTTATAACATCACCACAATTCCTTACATGCTTACAGGTTCAAAGCTTGTTCATTGGAGGTAAGATCTATAAATCGCAAAGGTTTGCAGCATACATGGCTCTAATATTCTGTCATCATATAGGACAATTCCAATTTTGGCTCGATGCCAGACGAACTTGGGCAGGACCGCATCTCAGACGTGTGTTCCCATCCTGGCTTGCTAGTAATTGCAACAAGCAACTGGAAGTTAAGTACAGCAATTTCGTCGGCGAATGGAATCATCTTTTGGATCAAGTCACGAATATTGGAGGTAGATATCCCGGCGAAATTGATCGAATCTTTTGGGGCTCTTTGGGCCCGACACATTTCTTGCAGAAAGGCCAAAGTCGATACAAAAGCTTCATGCTTCAAGCCACGGACGAAGATCTCAATTTGGAAGCGCCTTCTCGGTACTATGATGGAATTGATGCGTCAGGTCAAAATATGGTGGTGCTAAAGTTGGAGAACCTGTGAGTAACCTCTACCACAATTTATAATCAGAACGAACATATTGACCTTAAGATAGGGGTACTGCATCAGAAGAGCTTGAATTTACTTGCCAACAGTGGTTACTGGGTAATCGTCGGCCCAAGCTTACAGCATCACAGAAGATCAATGTATCTCGATCGAGTTGGTCCCTATATGATCATCCAGTCGCCGAAAAAGTGCTTGGACGTCCTGTTCCCGTTCATCTGACCGATGATCTACAGTATCTCAGAATCGGATACCAGCTCTTTGCTCAACAAGATAACAAATATACACCTATTGACCTGTTCGACGAGGAATCATATTTTGAAGATATAGTGGGCTCTGGACCATATATTGCCGTATCAACAAGGCGAAACATAACGCACGAGGATCTAGTCAAAGGATCAGCTACAGATGACACAATACTAGATTATGGAGAACATATGGCTCAAATAATACAAAAGATAACAGAAGCCGAAGGCCAGACGGTCGCTAAGTCTTCTACGGCTCCGACTACCACTGTAGAGGAGTCACGATCAAGCCGATCCACCGCTTCATCCAGCAACAGTTCTGTTCTATCGCTTATAATAGAAGACAATATCGATGCTGGTGAATTAAAATACGAAGAAATTGCCGTTGAGGAATTCGATGATCTCGTGGAAGCTTCTGATACCAGTTCTGATGGCAATTCTGCTGAGACAGATTGGAGCGAAGGGTCGACACTGGGTGATATCGACGAATTAGACGATGATGATCAGTGGAATGATTGGGGCAACGAAAGAATATCTATTGAAGATCTGAACAAAGAATTTGAGGATTTTGAGCACCCAGATGCAAACGATAGCGATGATCTCGATGATCCCGATGTTCCAGATGTTCCAGATGACGACGATATCTCGGATGAATTCGATGAATCAGAAGATGAGGAGGAAGTGGGGGGTATTGGTAAGGAAGCTGATATCGAGATGATTTTATCAGGGGCTCCGGGATATGTTTTGAAACGTGCTCGTATTGAAAAGGATCCCGATGATAGCGACTCTGTCGCAAGCCATTATTCACAAAGCTTGTATAGTGGTTCGGAAAGCGACGGTAGTCAAGACGATGAAGACACTGTGGATAATGAAGAAGCGCATAGACTGGAAGACCTCATTCTTGGCAAAAATAGTGCTGGAAAAGATGCTCCTCGCATCTCGATACAGGTATTCGATACCACGACTGAAAATAAATCGCCGTCGTTCCACTACTCGCAACGCATATCGGGCGTCATATTTCACTCTCCTTCTGCTTTCCATCCAACAGAACCACTTCTCGTCTGGCCCTTGGGTGACGGCAATATACTGTTCGCAAACTACTCAAACAATACGTATTTTACCAGAGAACTGTGCTGCTCTACGTATCACTCCTGTCATATATTTGTCAAACCGCACTTTTCACCCTGTGGTTCCTATCTCCATTTCGCCGCGTTGGAGGGTCGACCCATCGAAAATGAACTGAAGATGCATCTAAGTCTCCAAGTTTCAACCCATCGCTTGTCATCCAGGAAAACGGCGAAAAGTCCTCCTAGATTGGTATACAGGACCAATTTACCCCTAGGAGAAAGTCTTTCCATGAGTGTGAGTCGACTTCCTTACACCTTGACCTGGACTGAGAAGGAACTATTCTTTGTCACGCGGGGCCAAGAGCTTGATGTTATGAGGATTCCATTGTTCAAGGCCCCGGATGAAAAGAAAGTTCCGGTTTGCTACATTCAAAATCCAATTTACCTGCCGAGATCAGCCGAATTAAGAAATGTGTACTACTTTCCGCCTTCCTCATCCAAATCGAAGAACGATAAAAATAAAGATAAAGAAGAAACCGGCAAAATCATAATCGGCTCTCATTCTTCAATCCCATCTCAAGGTCTGATAGTACCCAAACGTCAAATGGTACAACCTCCAATTGGGGTACTGGTGAAAGAAGAGACGGATCTTGGTGGGTGGAAATGTAAGAGTGTGGATGTAGATGTGGATGAGAAGGGGAAGAAGGAGAGGGTTAATATGCAAGGTGGGAGGTTGCAGGGAAAGTTTGAAAGTTTTGATTTGAAGGAGGATTGTGATATTATTCCTTATTTATTTTAGGTTTTAGGTTTTAGGTTTCCGCAAGCTGTGAGTTAGTCTGGGATATCATTTGACGTTGATGAATATTGTTGGACATAGAATGGATGCAGAGGATGGTGATGAAGACGAGGTGGATGTTCCTACATAAGGACTTCAATCTCTTTCTTAGGGACATTCTCCGTGGCAGGGAAATATCTCCTACCCACAAACTTTACATCAAACCCTTTTTTTTTGCGGGAAACCTAGCACATCTTTAGGAACCATCAATTCAATCAGTAAATGCATTCTCGCTTGCTTCCAATAGGCTTTCATTGTCATGAAACTTCTTCACTTAACTACTCAAGTTTATTTATTTTCTACTTTATTTATTTTCTATTAAATCTTCATGCTAGGATCAATCACCAAAAACCAATCGCACTACCTGATTTCCCTAAGGACAAAAATTTATTCATTGAAGATTCAAGAAAGTGTAGGTAAGGTTATCTTTAGGTTCGTGATTGGAATACAAAATATATTTACAGTTTCTATCTAAGAATCAATTATGGATTATTAGTTCACAATCGCATAATGAAGGAGAGCTTTCCCATCCGGTCCCACCACGCTCTTCCCCGCGTGCCATGCCAATCTGGTCCACAGTCTAATTAAAACTATGCGTAACGAGACAGGATAGTGAAGAGTGAATAGATATCGATTATTGTACTGGATGGATGGTGTGGGTTTGAAATTGGAAGGACTTGATAGAAATCGGAGATAATCCGAAATCACTTGGGACTGCAGCTCTGCCCTGCCCCTTCATTATCACAAGCAAACTTTTTGGCTGCAAGATGTGAATTAGTCGATCTGATTGGTTGAGGAGTCCCCTGTAAGCGAAAGATTGAAAGATTGGCCGTCTGCACCTTCCTTGGGCCTTGCGTTGTATGGTTGGTATGTTCGCATTCCACCAATCTAACTACAGTATTGCTCAAATCTTTGGTCGTTATTGTTACCTCCTGATTCCAACTGGATAACTGCAGAAGTACCGCAAAGATATCCTCAAGGTTCGAGCTAGCAATACCGGTGATGTTCCTTTAATCGAAAACTAACAACCATCGAAATCTGTCTCATCCGGCGAGGAAGAGATAACCTTACGAATGTGGAGAAGTGGATCCCGCCAAGTATAAAACAGCTGCATCCCGCACAATGCGTATATCCTTCCCTGGAGCAATGGAAGATCTTTTATGGATCAATTTAACCTTTACAAGGCACATTAGCCGCGACTCCGCGAGTGGCCGAGTGGTTACACAACGCCTCCCCCCCGCTTCTCCTCTAATGGACCCTGGATGAACAACCACTGAAGAACCATGATTTCGAGGAAGCGATGCCAAATGAATGTCGTATTCTCCAATTTGCTCAGAATAAAGCCTACGTATATCTGAAAAGACGCGACAAGTATTGCTGTCCCGAGGGACTGGATTGCTAGCATCTTGAAATCTTACATCCCCTAGACTTCACGGAATGGCTCGAAACAGCAATCACGGCCGTTGATTCTTCAGCCTGTTTCACGCATTGCAGGAAAACCAAACCATTCAATCTATTGAAACCAGTAATGACTCCAAAAAGAATTACTGAACCGTGTTGGAATCTCGCCATAGTGGAAGAATCAGCGGATCAGAATTACCGGCCCGTTAATATTCCTCATATCTTCCAAAGTCTTTGCGATACGCCTTCCTCATGAGGTTCATTTGTAGGCCTTCATATCAACCGTAAGAGCATCGGAAATGTCCTGGTGAATTCATCGCTATAGTTCCTTGTCGCCTCTCGTGTTGGATTTGCTTTTTACGAAACGGTATGTCATACATACACAGCTGTGCCGAGCCGCCTTTCCATACCTGGTTCTTTTGCCTAGACAATGCTTTAATTTCAACAAGATATCTGCAGCTCCCATTCGTCTGAAGTCCGGACGGATGGATGTAGATGAGGTTCAATTCCAAATTATTGGTATTTAAGGACACAAGGGTAATAATTGGAGGCCCACAAACCTGTGGGGTTGAACCAATTGGACTTCAAGGCGTTGAAGCGCTGCAATGGCTTTGTAATGCAGTCTAGCCAGGGGGACTAAGCCTAAAATTCATCATTCACATGCACGAATGTATTGATCGGGTTTCCCCTAGGCCGCTGCTCGAATTGCAACAAAATTGTACAAGTACAAGTTACTGGTCGGGTCTCATACCATTACAGTCGAAGTGCAGTTTATTCCCTCGAAGATCTTTCTTGTGCGTTCGGAACATGTCCAAAAATTGCGCAGGTTTGCAGATCAGGCAAAAGAAGAGCAGATAGGGTTCCTTGATTCAAATTTGATACAGTTACAAATTCAGTGATCCGATCAAAAGGAATTAAAACTCTGATATTTTTCTTGCAAAGATTCGACTGTATATGCGGTGTGGACAAGATGCTTCACTCTAAATGTTGGAGTCGAGCGTTTTAAGTACAAGAAACACATAGGTCCGTTTCGATATGTTCCATGTACTGTGGCATATAGTGAAATCCCCAACAAAGCCAATATGCTGGTGAGAATTTCTACGGTTCGGATATCCTTGGCCGAACTGTTTTCCCTAAATTCCCTTTCCGGAACCGTTGATTAGGCAATTATGGCTCATGTATCATGTCATCGATCCACAATCGCAGCTCGACTTTACGTTTCTATTTTTCCAACTTTGCTCCACGTGTAAAGGCTGCTGGACACGATGAATCGGACGCAGGCTATAATCACTGATACTAACAAGACCCCTCTTGTGGAGATATTTGTATATATACCGCTTGCGTTTTCTTTCCTCAGTGTTCTTGCACGGCTAGCTACAAAATTGGTGGTTTTGAAGAAACTCGGATGGCATGACCATTTGATAACAATATCACTGGTGAGTAAGACGTGCGTTTTTCTACATAGAGGTCTGCTAACCATTGAGCTTATAGGCATTTGCTATGGGTCAATCTGCAGCAGTTGCGATTCAATGTGCGAATGGGTTTGGACAGCTAACTGTGACGACAAATGATGGGCAACAACAGACAATGTTAAAAGTTAGAACCGCTGCATTTACTGTGTAACAGTCTTTCTAGATACTACAACCACTGACTGGCCGCTTCTTTGTAGGCGGAATATGCTTCGAATATGCTCTTCATTACAAGTCTATACTTTGCGAATGTGTCGGTGGCCTTGTTCCTAATAGAGCTAACACCCATCACGGTCAAGAAGCGGGCATCGCAATTTCTTGGAATTGTGATATCATTATGGGCAATCAGTTCTATAGTAGCCTCTGCATTCCAGTGCCATTTGCCTAATGTATGGGATAATCTGAATGGAAAATGCTTTGATCGGGTTTGTGCTGTCAAATTTATGGCTACGAAACTTTCTGACTTGATCCACAGAAGGCGTTTTGGAATTCCGTGGCGATTGTGAACATTATCACAGATGCTGCTTTGATTTTGATCATAATTGTCATAGCACTTCACATAAAGGCTTCTTGGAATCGAAGGCTTACTATTATTGCAGTATTTGGGACTCGTATCTTGTTAGTATGGCCTCAGAAAATTCCCTTTATTGGCTAACGAATATTAGTGTTATTGTTGCGGTAGTTTTTCAATTGATCTACTACAACAAAACCATTGTCAACCCAGTGTTCGACCTTTGGCCTGCAGCAATCAGTACGCAAATCGCTCAATGTCTCAGCATTGTCACGGCATGCTTTCCATACCTCAAACCCTTTCTCTCCAGCCTCGAATCTGGCATGATGCGAGCAGACGACTTGCGCCGTCGAGGCGGTACCGAAAACGATGATTACAACGGGTACTACGTTCATAAGTCAGGGGATTCCTCGGGACTGGGGGGCAAAGGATCGAAGATTAGGAAGATGGTTAGTGATAGCTTGGAAAGCCGAAAGACGGTAGAAACTTTCAGGCTATCGAATCTTATACCAGGAGACGCAACTACAACGGTTGGGACCGGGGAAGCTTATGAGTGGGATGGTCAGAGTCATACAAGTCAGTCTCAGATTATAAAAGAGACTCGGACTTGGAATGTAGATGTACAGAGTACTGAACATAGGGGGGCAAGTATTGCTAGCGAATAAATTTTCAAGACGTGACTAGATGTAAGGGCAATCTAGATTTACGAGAACTTCAAAGATAATCTTTGCCAACGAGATATGAACCAATCAATGATAATAGCGTAACTGGATAGACAGACATTCTAGTAAATCTGCGAGAGATGCGCCCGAACACAAATCTTTCAACCGGCCGGATCAATGATCCATATTAGATCCCCAACGTATCGAGGTATCCAACCGGGGATGGAGAAAAATAGACCGAATCGAACATGGATATAAACCGTTTGGACGAGGGTATATGCGTCCATGCAGACCCCTTGTGTTCTGCATGCACCAAAATGGAACCTTCCAAGCCTAGTCTGCTCTCCCTTCCGATATGTATAACTCTCATTCAAAACTCCTGCATCGTTTGTGTTTTCCTTCGTTTTCACTCCTCAGTCAAGAGTATATTTGATTCTCTTTATATTTGAAAATCCGGGTTGTTCATTTCGCCTGGTGTCTTTGTTTTCTCGGCAATGGGTCTTGAAAAGCAGGAAGATATGGGTGCCGTGGAGCTCGGTACTGTTGAGAGTGTTGCGGGTGCGGGGCATTTTAACAGTAATGATCAGGATCAGGATGATTTGGTACGACTGGGGAAAAAGCCAGTACTAAAGGTATGTATTTGAGTTCTCTATTACTCGCATGATGAATTATTCCGCCATCAAATGCTTTTGTAGCACAAGATATTATGTGCTATTCATAGTTGCTAACCCAAAATGATTACAGAGAAACTTTGGCTTCATGTCAATACTCGGATTTAGCTGCACGGTTCTCATCACTTGGGAAGGAAGCTTAATTTTATTTCTGAGCGGGCTTCAGAACGGTGGTCCGGCCGGTCTCATATATGGCTTTCTCTTCATCTGGATCGGTAACCTGTCGGTATTCTCCACTCTCTCCGAACTCGTATCCATGGCTCCAACGTCCGGCGGCCAGTATCATTGGGTCTCTATGCTTGCCCCTCCATCCGTTTCGAAATTTCTGAGTTATATAACGGGTTGGTTGACGGTGGGTGGCTGGCAGGCTGCTGTAGCGTCCGGAGGTTATCTGACGGGAACTCTTATTCAAGGTTTGATTGTTTTGACGGTGCCGAGTTATGAACCAAAATCGTGGCAAGGGGTTTTGCTTTATTGGGCAGTTATATTCAATGCGGTTTTCATTAACGCTATTATAAGTAGCTTGCTGCCAAAGTTCGAAGGCCTGATCTTGATATTGCATATCCTGGGGTTCTTTGCTATTCTGGTTCCACTGGTTGTACTTGCGCCACACGATAATGCTAAGGATGTCTTTACTGTTTGGTTGAATGAAGGAGGATGGTCGTCTCAAGGTATCTCGTTCTTTGTCGGGTTGATCGGGAATGTTTTTGCATTTGTTGGTAAGTGATTGTTTGGTCACAATGGCGAGAACTAGATTAACAATTTTTTAGGTGCAGATGGAGCTTTCCACGTAAGTATCCATCTTATCAATTGTTTGAAGTATACCCCGGATTCCCCACTAATATATTGCCTAGATGTCTGAGGAAATCCGCAACCCCTCTGTGATCGTACCACGATCCATCATGTTAAGTGTCGTAATCAACGGAACTCTAGGTTTCTCAATGATCATCGCAGTGCTTTTCTGCGTGGGCAATCTAGACAATGCGATAAACAGCCCCACCAGCTTTCCATTCATAGAGATCTTCTTTCAGGCAACGAACTCTGTTGGTGGTACGGCAGTTATGGGTTCAATTATTGCGGTACTAGCTTTGAGTGCTACTGTTGGCCTACTAGCTTCTACATCTCGAATGTCTTGGTCGTTTGCAAGGGATTGAGGGTTACCTGGATGGAGGACTCTACAACTTGTAAGTTTATCTCGGTTATATCATCATTGCTCGTGAAGTAAATTCGGGAATCGTGAATTTTCAACCGGGCGTGATAACATATGAAGCTAATATTGTAATTTCCATCTCAGGTTAATCGCAAAACTCTCATCCCTCTGTGGTCAATCGCTATCACCACCATAATCTCATGTCTACTCGCACTGATTAACTTCGGCTCCGCCACCGCCTTCAACGATGTCGTCTCTCTATCGGTTTCTGGCCTCTATAGTTCCTACTTAATTTGTGCTGTGCTCCTATTTTATCGTCGCCTTACTGGGGGACTCGAAAGAGCATCATCAGAAGACTCCAAGGCGCCAACCTTGGTGAATACCGCAGGAGCTAAGCTCATATGGGGTATGTTAATTCCCACCTGGATATCCCCTTTCAATACTAGCGCAATTGTTACCACTTATAATAATGAAACTGATCAACCTTCTAGGCCCATGGCATATCCCAGGTGCATTTGGCATCGTGAATAACGCCGTTGCGATTATTTATCTAACAATAATTCTCTTCTTCTGCTTTTGGCCATCGGTCATACCCGTGACTCCCGCAAACATGAATTATACTGTTCTTGTCACTGGTACTGTCATGCTCTTCAGTTAGATTTGGTATTTAGTGAAAGGAAGAAAGGAATGGAAAGGGCCGATTATCGAAGCGCATCTTTGAGTTTTTAGAGCTGCATGTATATACCAAGGGTAGAGCTGTGAGGGAGAAAACGAATACCAAGTAAAAAGGGAGAGTACTATCATGGTAACGGTTGGAATAATTGTTATTTAAAAGTAGCTTAACGGTAGATCAGAAGGTGAAATATGCCTCTGTGGTATGGCCAAAATGACAGAATTTTCGTTTAGAGGAATTAGCTTGACTCAGGATCGCACCGCATCGAGTAGTCTCTCTTATGACTCTAGGAAGGCATGGCATAGTAGCGTCTGATTATATGGTATCTATCTTGGACGAAAACTCGAGAATTTCTGCTCGCGACGTTATTCAAAAATTAAATATTGGAAAGAGAATCCATACGATTATCTCCTGAAAGCATATACAAAATAAATTGTAATCTAGGTATACTCGTAGAAGAGTTGGAGAAGAATCAATAGCGATTAATCTGCTTGAGTAAAGTTTTTATAGAAATCCTTCTAGTCATTTATCGAACCCTAAGTCATCTAATTAATCTGATCAATATTGGTCTGATCGATATTGGAGTACTATCCCCGGGCTAGACCATCGGATAGGCTATCTCGGACCTCGAACATAGCTCGGCCTATGTTGAGAATAGCATCTTGAGAAGAATGGAAAGTATAGAGGGATATTTTCTCTCGAATTTCTGGCTTACTTGAGGTTAGTCAAGCAAATAATAAAATATATAGTTGTTGGAGAGAAAGGGTTGTTTGCTATACCGCTAACGCATAAATGCGCAATTAATTCAGTAGCTTGCCCTTTGAAGCTCTAGGTGTTTGTTGATTTATATTGCCATAAAATTATGTCAACAGATTTGATTGATATTATTCCATTTTGATTGATTTCTACCCAAGGAGTGAAGAGAGCATCAATTCGATACCTATTCTTATTAGTTGCCATGACCTTACCTATAGTGCTACTAATAGGAACGATATATGACCGTGACAGTACACTGGCCATCTAGATGCCGAACTTATCACAATTCTTCTAAACTTGGTCAAATTTATATGCGCTTCTCGGGCTGGATACGATTAAATTGGTGTTGATACCTGTGGTAAAAGAAAGTCCCTGTCCGATATTTAGGATGATTTGTAATGTATCTTTACAGGTATTGCCGTTTCAAACGCCCCGGGAAACGTTGGAAATGCAACGGCCGATGTTGCCATTTACCTCATGCTTAGTCTTTTGACGCGTCCCTGAATTGAGTAGGAATGCGGGGATAGGACATGACCCCGAGGGAAAAATCCTGGGGTTTCTAGGTATGGGTAATATATTGGTAGCGCGGTAGCCAAACGTGCCGTAACCTTAGTGTTTAACATGGATGTTCAATATTTTACCCGGAACCCCTTTCCTGTGTTGACGAGACGCGTCCAGGAAGGAACCAAATATGTTTCCTTTGAAGAACTTCTCCGGACAAGTGATATTATTTATGTACACCTTCCACTTTCGGATGCTACTCGGCATACTCTCAGCTCGAGATAGTTTGCGCAAATGAAGGATGGAGCTATCGTAATTAATACCTCTCGAGGATCTATAGTCGACGAGCAGGCTCTTGTTGACGCTCTCGGGTCCGGAAAATTGTTCAACGCTGGTTTGGACGTTTTTTGAGAATGAGCCACAAAGACTGAGTACATCCCAAGCTTTTTGAGAATGAAAATGTTGTCTTGACTCTGCATATGGGCGCTGGCACTTTTGAGAGGAACGTAAGCACATAGAGTTCGTATTTATTCCCCAGTTAACCAGAAGTGGCACAAATCAGAAGCCATTGCTATATCTAATGTTCGGAATAATATATCAGAATGGGACGTTACTAACAAAAAAGTTTGTGAACAATGAGCTGAATGATGGGCGGTTACCGAAATTGGTCATAATCTTTCGTTTAGTACTCGAGTAGTCTTACTTACTTACATGTGTCTGTTCAGTGGCTTGCTTATGAATCTCGTATGTGCAAAGCTTAAGCACCTCAGACCAGCCTCCTCATCTACTAAACTTCCCAATCTCATGCAGCAAGACTGTTAATCTCAGTGGATTCTTCGTATTTCTTGCAAGGAAAACACAAATAGGATCGTCAATTGGAGAAATACTTCCAATGCTTTCAATAATTGTGCAGGATACGAGGTACTGTGCAGTTTGTACGACCATAATCAAATTTTAGACTGTATTCATGCATGCATCTGTAAATGGTAACCATCCCAGGGTAGTATTCAAAATTCGCTCACTTTGAAATTTAGGATCATCGAGAAATTGTTCAATAAATACAGTATTCAATACATAAATAGATACAATCCCTCTTATCCATAATTGTCCATATTCTCTAATTCGTAACACCATTCAATTCGGGTGCTCAAAAACTACGACTACATCAATCAAGCAAAACAGCAAAAATGACTCGTCTCATCTCATCATTGTTCCTCCTCACGATCGCATCTCTCGCATCTCTCGCGAACTCCTCTCCTCTAAATTCTGGCACGGAAGCCCTCGTCCGAAACCCAGCATCCCAAGATGCTTCACCCACCACAACCAGTACTCCCACAACCACAACCACCACCTCCTCCGCCATCGCCACCAAAACCATACCCGGCTGCCATATCCAAGGCACTCCCGACGTGGCACTCACCTCAAATGTCTGGGGCGCAACCACTGCTGCCGACTTTCCTTCTTGCCAATTGAGTTGTATATACATATCCCAATGTATATCATATTCGTACGCACCAAGTAACTTGGCTTGCACGCTTTATCATCAGTGGATGGATAATTTCACGACGGGTGATACGACGGGTTATGTGGTTTTGAGTGATACCAGTGGGCTCTTCTTTTCGGATAAATATCCGAGTGATGGGACGAACTTTTGTTTTGGGGATCATCAGCTTTGAGGATGAATGGAATCGAGGGGTTGGGCTAAGGTGTTGTGCGAGAACTGTTATGAGATGCGCTGCGCTTTGAAAGAGATTTGTGGGAGTTCTCTACATGTTGGAAAAGTTTCCCGGTATTTTTCATCTAGACCGTGATTTTGAAGAAACATCGATTTTTCCACAATCTATGAGCTCTCTCCTTTGACCCATATGAGTTTACGCCAAGATATCTAATCGTCAATCTGGTGTGAAATTTGGATCAATATCAGTGATCACAATCCGATTCCGACCAGCGGCGATACTCGTCCTGGCAAATAGATCTCAACAAATCGTGTGAAACTCACGTTATGCACTCCTTGATCCAAACCAATCACTTCTCCAATCAATCATAAGCAAGACTACAAGAAAACCATCCATCCATAATTATCAAGTTCTTCGCAACATACATCTCATGTGACCGTGACCCCGGGTCAACTTTCCTCATTTCATTCTCACCCACTCACTCATCACGATCTCATGCATAATCCAACCCCCCCCCTTCTTTCACACTTACGTCAATCTCACCCCTTCTCTCTTACCATCCAAATACTCCACTCCACCATCAATAATATATTGTATACCGTTATGTTATCCTCCACAGCCATCGCCATCCTTCAAACCCATTGGTTAAACCCTCAACATCCTAGTCATTTTCAATATACAATCTAAGGTTACGTCAGGATCCGACAACAAGGACAAGAACAAGAACAAGAACATGGATCCGATTCTTGATTTTGGAAAAAATAAAAAGCAGGAAATCTTGAAATGTACATTACCAGAACATGAACTTTATGATGAAGGAGCGCAGCAATGTGTGGCGTCAGAGTGCATGTGAAATGAGGGGTGTTAAAGGAATGAGTAGGTAGGTTGTTAAGATTGTAGAGCTATATATCTCAGTGCTCTTTTACTAGAATTATAACTCTCTACCAACAAAACCTCATCCGCGAACCTGCAAACTCTCTAATAATTCAAACAAACAAACAAACAAACCAAACCAAACCAAACCAAGTACCCCACAAACCCAACCCCCAAAGCCCAATCCCCAACCATGTCCGGAACACAAAGCGGAGGACTCCTCGGCGGACTAATCGGCGCACTCGACAACACACTTACAGGGGGTCCACAGGCCCACGGTCAAGGTGGACTTCTCGGGGGTGTCGGCGGTGCACTTGAGAAGACAACGGAAGGATTGGGGAATACGTTGAATAGTACTGTGAAGGGGGTGGGAGAGGTTGCTGGGGGGGCGACTAATACGGTGGGGAATGTTGCTGGGGGGGCGACGGGGGCGTTGGGGGGTGTGTTGGGTGGGTTGGGGGGTGGAGTGGGAGGGGGAGGCGGAGGGGGTGCAGGGAGTGGAGGGAGTGGGAGTGGAGGGGAACAGCAGTTGAATGCTTGGGGGGAGCCGATTAAGAAGTAGATGGTTGGGTGGATGGATGGTTAGATGGATGGATGGATATTTGTGGGGATATTGGGATGGGATTGTATTGGAATTGGATAGGATTGGAATATTTCATACAAAATGGACTATATCAGGAATAAAGTGAGGGAGGGTTGCATGACTTTTCGATACAAACCTGGTCGTTCGCTGCCTAGGATAGGTCTACCTTTGTAATCACAGTATTGTGCTTCATCACCAATTCTATACATATTTTACACTCAAGTTGTATCTTTGTCTATTGTCAGTCAGTGCAATATGCCATGTTTATCTGAAGTCTTTTGAGGGAAAATGTCCCTTGATATTGTTGCTATGGGGCGCGAAGTCTGAATCGCTTTTTGAACTTAGGTGAGATGAGAATGATACTTGTTTGCATTTAAACTTGAAGTATATTCTGTCTTTAAGATCGGATAAAAAGTCCTCAATTACTGTTTTACTGGATCGCCTTAATTTACTCATTTACCGTTAAAGAATTAACTACAAATTAAATTATGTTACTTAATCGTATGAAACGTAACTTTCGAGTCCAACGAGAGTAAAATTGCTATTCCAGCTTGGTTCCTAGGGTATGTTAGAATTATTAGTCTTCATGGCGGAGACGACTTACTGTGAGTATCTACTTTTGACTCATCCACCCTGCCATCATTATCATCATTACCATCAACATTCTCTTCCTTTTTCTTCGACGACGAAAACAACGAACGAAAATTCCACACCGATCCCTTTTTATCCTCCGTTCTCACATCATCATCAGCATCAATAGTCACAGATTCACTCGGTTCATCCTCATCCGCCAGTCCACTCCCACTCACAGCATTCGTTTTCTTAAGATTTCGTGATCCCCACAATGAGCTAACGCCCTTAGAAGCATAGCTAGGAATAGCTACCCCGGCTTTCAATCCCGTTGAAGCTACACCGGTGAGACCGGAACTTGCGGCAGATGCGTATTCGGATACATCAGATCCTGCTTTTTGCGATATTCGGTAGAGGCTTTGGAGATATGATTCACGTTGCTTATTGTCGAGGTCATTTTCTTGAATATCGGGTAATGGAATATCAGCGGCTGCAGCGACAATATCGAGAGGGGATTCTTCGACTTCATCGACATCTAGATTGGGTTCAGAATTAGTACCTGTGAAGATTTCACCTTCTTCCGTCTGTACACCAGTTGTATCTTTTGCTAGTGTTGTTTCTGGCGATGGATCTGGTGGTGGCATATCCACGAGTTTGTTGTCGCTTTGAAACCATTCAATGACTAGATCTCTTGCCTGTTCCGACAATTTATCGTAACCATCATTGGTATCTGGTTTGAACATACTCATATGAGCTTGGACTTCATCTTCGACTGCACCATTGACATTTCGAATGAATAGTTCGTTAGACCTCTGTTCCGGTGCAGGTATCGCGCAGAAAGTCCTTTCCGGAACAAAGTATCCTCCTGTCCAATATCCATTTTCTCCCAAAGAAGTGTAGAAATTTCGAACTCCAACTCCTTCAACCTTGGATAATCTCTCAAGTCTTTGGACCATCTCTTTCTGTCTCATCAATGCACCCACAAATTTAAGATGACTTGACAACCACGCGAAGGACTGACCAACACTATCACGATTAATGTATGCAAGTCCCTGACCCAGTGCATCATATCCTTGTTCTGCTCCATCTTTGATAGAGCTCTTGTTCAAATTTTTAACACCCGAGATGATGATCTCGCGATTCCTGTATGCCGCCACACCTCCGGCCGCGATGGCTCCCACAACGCCGGACTTTACAGCAATTCCCTCCCATATCTTCCATCCTGGACTAGCAGTTCTGGTTGTGGCTGCCACAGAGCTTCCTGCTCGTCTCGCTGCTTGTCTCGCAGATATTGTGCCTAAAGATCTGGCACTGATAAGGCCGGCCGAAGCAGCTGACATTATATTCCAAATGCTGCTGACTTTCTGGTATTGAGAAAATGCGCCATACACAAACATAGAACGAGCGAGGCCATTGTAAGGTGTATCAAAAGCTAGAAGACCTTGAATAAGTGGAAATATGACATGCTTAGAGTCTTCATCCTCTTGATCGTGATGGTCATTAAGAATCGAGAAGAGAGCATCGGATGCAACAAAACCTCTAGATACATCGTTAATAGAGTTGATTACGGGTCCATATAGAGATTGCAGTCTTACCCCATAGAATGCGCGACCAAAACGACGCCCACAGATCTATCATTTGGTGGCCATGGAGCTTGGGTTTTTTTTTTCCGAACCTCCATAACCTTTCCTTTTAGCCTACGATGAAGTTAGTTATGATATGACATTTCTGATGATCATCACAAACCATTCGAGAAATCTTTCAGTGCTATCCAAGAGATCCCCTCTGGTCTCATATTTAGGATACATAAGAAGCTCAACATCATCATCCGGTAGCTTGTCTGCTACATTCTTCTGAAGGGACTATCGCGAAAATCAATACTCCCATGATTTACACTTTGAATGTGAGTTTGTTAACTGACCTGAGGAAAAGTATAAAAAGTCTCGCCATCGCCCTATCATCGTTAGTATCTGAAATCCTGTGGTGAAATGTATCTGCTTACCTTGAACCCATGAATGAAACACAATAGAAGTGTTCGCTTCATCGTTAAATCGTATGTTTCTACAAACGCGGTTCGTAAAGATGAAGAATAGCCAGGGTGGTGTAAGAAATCAATTGTAATTATGGATATAATTGCCTTCTTCAAGAACTCCTGTGGCGTTGGTGTACAAAAAATGGCTGAAAACCATGAAAACCACATCCCATAGATTCAAGATTTTGGCTTTCATATGTGTTTCTTTGCTATGACCTCACAAAGTCAAAAGATCGCAACCGCCCTGTACGTCATTTAAAGCTGAATATGCAAAAGTTATTTTCGTCCTGGCCATGCGAACTTTTGGGATACGTGTTGAGAAGAAGGTACGAAAGGAAGGTGTAGACAACAAAGAAAAGCGTGACAAGTCACCAGTGCACGTGATTGCATTGATCAATTCAACAATGAAGCATCAAGAGGATGTCGGTTTTTATGAACATGATTGTTAGATTTTGCTAGGTACATGATGAATAGTGACTAAATATTAGAAGTAAAAGAATTACAGACCGCCATTTCCCATTTGCAGACCTGATATAAAATACAATTGTGATGCTTCGGGAAGCATATCTTACGTGACAAGTCGTGAAATCATTTATTTCTTAGATTTCTTGCCAGTGAGAGAATCAACCACACTTCCAAGTCCAAGACCAGTCAAGAGGTTCTTCAAACCAAGACCTCCGAGGAGATTATCAAGCAAGCCTCCAAGACCAAGTCCACTGAGCTGTTAAGATTGTTAGACACATCTAACATAATTCGGGAGAGGTAAACGGGTTCACGTGATGACTTACCAATTTACCAACCAAACCAAGTACACCGCTCAGAAGCAAGCCAACGGCTGCAAGAATCTGAGCAAGTGGCTCTGAGAGAAGACTCCATAGGGGGTTGATTTCCTTCTTGGCGTGGGGCATGCCTTCAATCTTTCTCTTGGCGTTTTCGATAGTCTCGGTAACAACTCCGGTAAGCTGTAAACAATGATCAGTAAAATTTTCTTTCGTTGATTTTGCATAGTACATGTAAAGAAATACATACCTCTTTGAGACAATCAGCCAAGTGATATTCCTCTGGAGTAGCTTCATGAGCTGCTGTCTTGGCCTTGGCTTGAGATGCAAGTCTTCCACCGGGGTCAAGAGCACGAATAGAGGCATTTGCCTCAGAAAGAATGCGGCCACCTTCTTCGATCAATGGCTTGACCTTGTTAACAAGATCCTCTTCATCGAGCTCATCCTTCGGAGTACGCTCAGCTTTATCGATATGCGAAGTGATCATCTTGAGAATTGGCTTGACTTTGCTGAGAGCATCCTCAATGCAGTAGGTCATCTGACTACAAATTTTCTTGTCGAGTGCGGCCTCTTCTCTGGCCTTTTTTTCTTCCTCTGTCTCTTCTGGCTCTTGCTCAATTTCTGGCTCTGGCTCTGGCTCTGGCTCTGGCTCCTCTGGTTCTACCACGGGCTCGGGCTCATCTTCGACGATATCCTCGAGAAGGGTCACGTGTCCAAGTGAGTTACCCTTTTGATCAACAACATCTCCATCATCATCGATCTTCTTACCAAAGCAGACTCCGAGGTCACCACTTTTCAATCTACCAATGATATCTCCATTCTCGTCCACCACATTACCCTCCTTGTTGACTTTACGACCAGACATTGGGCTGACATCTTTTTTGACCTCTTCCTCTTGCCATCTCTCTGCTCTACCCAATACGTTGCCATTCTTATCGACGATCTCACCGTCATCATCCACAGCTCGTCCGAAAAGAACATTGGCGTCGCCAGAAACCAATCGACCAACCACTTCGCCAGATGAGGTAACAACCTTTCCTTCTTTGTTAACTGTGCAACCATCGAAGTCTGTGAAAGGTCCTTCCTTCAAGCCCTCACGATCACCCTCTGGAACAACTTCACACTTGCCAATGATATCACCTCCCTCGTTTCTCACAAAGCCTTGCTTATCGCACATTTTGCCTGCAAGTTGCTTGATATCTCCTTCGACAACACGACCGTAGATCTCTCCACTCTTGTTAACGACATTACCAGCTTTGTTCACGCGTTTTCCTGCCAAGGAAGAGTTGTCGACTTCCGGCACTGCTTCGATTTCAGGAGCTTCCCACCGTTCGGCCTTACCAAGCACGTTGCCGCTAGCAGACAAGATATCTCCATCTGCATCAACCTTTTTGCCTTTGAGTTTCTTGGGATCACCCTCGATGACTTTGCCAATAACTTCGCCATTGTGAACAACATCTCCGTTGGATTCAACAGTGGCATCTGGAAAGTCTTCGAATGGTGCTGGTTCCTTGAGTTCTTCCTTTTCTGCGTCTGGAATTGGCTCGGCTTGTCCAATTTTCTTACCACTGTCACCCCAGATTGCTCCATCTTTGTCACATCGACGACCGATCATATTTTTCAAGACACCTTGAATTATGCGACCAACCACACGACCGGAGTCATCTGTAACATTTCCGAGCTTGTTAACCTTTTTATCGAATAGAACGGAGTAATCTGGTCCTTCTGGTACAATTTCTGGCTCTTCCTCGGTGCGTTCGGCCTTTCCAATGACATTTCCATTCTTATCAAGAATATCGCCATCCTCATCAACAACTTTGCCGATCATTTTCTTGACATCTCCCTCCACAACTTGTCCAATGACTTGCCCCTCAAAGGTAATCTTTCCTGACTTATCAACAATGGCACCGGGGAAATCTTCAAAAGGTGCAGATTCGTTTTCCTCGACTTCTGGAAGAGGTTCGGCACGGCCAACGACCTTGCCAGTATCGTTATAGATCTTTCCCTCCTTGTCACACTTCTTTCCAGCAAGCTTCTTGGCATCGCCTTCAATAAGTTGACCAACTGGGTTACCATCTCTGTCGACAATCTTTCCGGCCTTGTTGACTTTAAGACCCTCAAGAATGGAGACAGGTGGAATATTAGATTCAACCTCCTCCTCAACACCTTCAACGGTATCTTTGGCTTGATCAGTAATACCTTCGGCGCCTTCTTTGCTTTCTTCAATAGCTCCTCCAGGAGTAGCTTTAGTTTCGTCGGTGACACCTTCCATACCCTCTTTTCCTTCCTCGATAGCGCCTTCGACACCATCTTGTCCTTCTTTAACGATGCCTTCGATACCCTCCTTTACTTCTTCAATAGCTCCTCCAGGAGTAGCTCTATCGTCATCGATAGCACCTTCAACACCGTCTTGTCCTTCTCCAACGGTGCCTTCGAGACCCACCTTTCCTTCATCAACAGCTCCTCCAGGAGTAACTATATCTTCGTCAATGACACCTTCGGCACCCTTTCCTTCCTCGATAGAACCTTCAACACCCTCTGTTTTTTCTTCAACTGCATCTTCTAGACCCCCCTTGTCCTTCTCAAGACCTTCCTTAACCTCATCGCCTTCTGGAACTTGTGATTTAAGATCAGCCTTGGAACCTTCAGCCCTGGATTCAAGATCATCCTTAGAACCTCCAACCCTAGATTCAAGCTCAGCTCTGGAACCAAGGTCAGCCTTTGAGCCAAGCTTTCCTCCAACTTGGCTAGCGCCTTCCGGAATAGCCACGTTCAAGACTTGCTCTCTGACACTCTCTGGAATAGGCAGTTGATCAACTGGAAGTAAATCCACCTTTCCAATAATAGTTCCATTTTCCCCAACCAAATTTCCTTCATCATCCACATTAACACCTTGCTTTCCAACCAGCGACTTGATATCGACGTCATCTTGAAGTTTGCCAATCGCCTTTCTATCGACATCAAAAATCTCGCCCGATTCTTGGATTTCGAACGGTCCCTTGAGTTTTGATTGAGGTATTATTGATTCTTCGACTGTATCGACATCTGGTCTGGAAACAGCATCGTCTGCCTTTGATTTAAAAGTATCGGCCTGTCCTTCGACGCCTTGAGTAGCATCTTTGACGTCGATATCTGGCTTTTCCCCCTTATCAAGACCGGATTTGGCGCTATCAGCAGGAGATTTAAGACCATCGGCATTATCCCTGTCTGCAAGACCCTCAAATGCTTCGATTGGATCAGCAGATCCAATGACATGACCTTCCTTGTCCAATACATCGCCCTCTTCGTTGACGATACTGTCCTTGAGTTTGGATTGGTCGATATCGGCTTCATTAACCTTTCCGATAACGTTTCCGTCTTCATCAATGACCTCTCCCTTCTCGTTAACTTTTCCGGCAGGCTCTAGATTCTCTGCAATTTCACTAGCGTCTTCGATAGACTTTCTCGCAGAGTCTTTGAGGTCTCCGGCTTGTGATTCGGTAATGTCCTTCACATCTCCAGCTTTTGACTCGGTGATATCCTTCACATCTCCGGTCTTTGACTCAGTGGTATCCTTCACATCCCCAGTTTCTGACTCTGTTGTGTCCTTGATATCTCCAGCTTTGGACTCAGTTGTCTCCTTGACATTTTTGCCACCCTGAGTAGCTTTATCGTGGACATCTCCGCCGGCTTGACTAGCTTTGTCTTGAACATCATCACCGACTTCGGTAGCCTTTTCCTGTTCCAGAACATCGTCGATTTCCTTCTCTTGTGAAACATGAGAAGCTTTCTCCAAAGCCTCGCCTGCCACATCCCTAGCCTGTTCTGTAGCACCTCCCAAATTACGAGAATCTTCATTTGGATCTCGCTCAGTCAATTCCTCTTCTTCCACTAGACCCCCTTCCTCCTCCTCTTCTCTTCCTTCCTCTTCTCCCTCTGCGACACCGTTGTCATTGCTTCCTTCGTCCTCTTCGTCCTCTTCCTCTTGCTCACCATTGGTGAGATGATCCTCGGTATCTGAAATAGCTGATGGTGCCATTCTTTCTGGGGATTCGGGAGGCTCTGAACGTGTTTGAACTGGCTCCGGTGTTGATGGAGCTTTTGGGACGTCCTTCTTGGTACTCTTTGGTGCTGGTGATTTTGCAGGAGTCTTGGTTGGGGTTTTTGGTGTTTTGGATGAGGCGTCTTTTGGCGCCTTCAACGTCTGTTTTGGTGAGGATTCAGTGTCTGTCATAATCGGTTGTTGAGTATCTTCGTGAGTCGTAATTTTAGTATTTATGGTCTGTATTGTTTGTTCAAAAGTAGTGGTCATACAGATTGACATTTGGGCTCATACAGAACCCGTGAGCTGTTCTTGTATGGAATATCAAACTGCTAGTTTCCGGTTTACTTGGAAGTAAAGGACCTTGGATAGCTTGGATATGATGTAAGTATCTCACATCTTGGGACCTATGATGCTGCAAAGTTCAAACTTTTTGGCTTTCCACGTCAGCCACTCAGCGGTGATATATTGAGATCCTGGGATAGTGAGCCACACCATATTGAAATTCCCATCGAATCATGATGGGAAAGCCGAAAGGTTGTAACTTTTCTGGTAATTTGCGTCATGGCAATATGGTGGAGGTGGTCATTTGCTCGTCATTGGCCAGGCTTTTTGTACCCCGCGACATATCCTCGAAACCCTGATGCTTCTCGCATCGGGAAACTACTTTTTCAACGGATAAATTTGCTAGAGAGTGTTACTGCAATCTGTTCTTGGAACTTTTCAAGAATCAATCTGTACAGCTCGTATACTCGCATTCCTTGGCCTCTCCAGGAATTGACTTGACATCAAACGAACGATACATGCAACAGGCGAGAAGCCCAAAGTTTTCCCCAGTCTTACTACCAAGTAGTCAAGCTCTCAATGTCTAGATGAATCTAACCCCGATGACCTTCGACATCGCGTTCCCAGGAACTTGACCTTCGATCGCTTTAACCGCAAAGTACGGAGAGAGAGTGCAAGAGAGGTCCAGAAGCCACCAAGCCACAGATTGTTCTCTTCCCGTGACAGAATACTCGAGTATATCCCCTTCACCATTGGACTTAATCCCTTAATTACACTAACGTAGTCTGACACGAAACGGCTAACTACTCCATTCTTTATCAGCCACATCAACAAGGGATATTTCCTGTTATCAAAAATTAAATCACGGTTGTGTCCACTAACACGTCTTTGATATATTTAAATCACGGAGATTACATCACTAGCTGGGCCATGCATGAGCACTCGCCACAATTTAAAATATGGGGCTATTTCGGTTAGGCCTTCCCCCTTCATTTCAATTCTGAAGCGAATGTTTCCTGTTTTTGCGAAAAGGGAACAGGATTTAGACCTGGATATGTTTTTGCTGCGTTTTTAGTTGGTTACATCACTAATTTTTAGGGACAGGTGACAACTCGAGTGAAATAAGATGATTTGGGAACCTGGGTGATGATTTGTGGGGTGATTAACTGATGTGAGTTTGGTTTTACCTGTATTATATCATCTCTGAGCTATAACGAGCAGCTTCTCAGGCACTTTCGTGCTTTTGAATCCGTGATTTTAGATGTGCCTGTGAAACACAGCAAATTGTGAGAATAGGGTACTTAGGTACTCTAGAGTACGAGATACATATTGATGCCCCAAGAGGTTCAAGAAAGAAATGGACGAGTGAAAATCAAGAAGGCTGTTTGAATATTCGGTAAATTACTCTCATGCTACCATATAACCTATGGTAGAATCTATCTTTGGATAGGGTAGGATCTATAGTAAAAGGCATTCTGAGGTTTTCCTCGTCTCAAAGAGACTTGGAACACAAACTACTATGAGTGTGGTGTCTGTACAGGAAACTGATCTAACCAGATAAATTATAATTATCTTCAAATACTTTGGAGACAATCTCCAAATCCTTTCGATCCGAATCTGAAGATAATGTATTTGGTTAGATCAGAAAATCATATAAGTGATTGATGGCCCGACCGACTTGAAGCTCCGATAACTTCCTTTTATTCCTATTAGATAGGTAGGTGCATAATCAGGCTTTCCAAAGAGTTATTAGCCTCACCACCCATCCTCACTGCCTTTGCACAGGCCACTATACTCGTAGTAGTTTGCTGTAAGAGTCGCTACGCTCAGTCGTAAAGAACGACGATTAGACTAAGATTGAATAAAAAGATATAAGCTATAGTGGGAGGGTAGAATCTATCGCAAACTCTATGGTAGGAAAGTAGATATAATTAGTGAAAGGGTAGAATTTATAGTAGTAGGGTGGAATCTAATCATTTAAGCATAGATCATAGACAAGTGACATGAGAGAGTAATTTACCGTTAAATATTTCGAAAAGTTGCACAAAATGGAAAAAAGGGTTGGGGTGGCATTCCTAAGATAGGGGATAGATAGGGTTATCTTTACATTTCAAGAGAGTTCAATAATGAGCAGTGAAGATATGATATGAACAATATCAACTTCACGAGGGAGGACTCGGAATAGAAAGCTAGAAATACATTTACAGAAACACCACACACTGCACTTTACTAACTACCATTCCCAATGTACGAGTACTTAAACGGTCGCAAGAAAAACATACACACCAAAAAAAAACAACATGAATTATTCATAAACCCATACACACTCATTACCACCCAACCTAACCCATTCTTCCTTCCTTTCCTTCTTCATTTCATCCCATTCCAAAATACTGCCATTACTTCCTTCCTCCCTCACCATCCCATTCCACCCCATCCTACCCACCCCATCCCACCTAATTTCCATTTCCATTCCTCATCATAAAAGCCGTAGGAATTCGAATCTGCAAACTAATCCCCTCATTCGTACTCTTAACATCCAAGAAAATATCACTCGGACTACCTGCACCTGCTGCACTAGAATCTGCATTCAAGTTCTGGCCCGATAACCCCGCCAGAGGTTTCTTATCCCCCGCTCTTGGGTTATCAATCTTTGGTTTCTGAATTCCACCAAGAACTTGGATTTGTTGTGAAGCCCTGGCTTCCAGTTCCTTGGATTTAAATGAACCAATTGCTTTGCCAGAGAAGTTCGAGGTGGCTTGACCAATAATGTTTCCCTCATCGTCGAAGAGAAATCCGTCTTTGATTACGGATATACTCTTACCGATAAGGTCATCGAGGTTTGGTAGATCGACTTGTAAATCTTTGGCGTTGTCTGCCACACCTTCAATTTGATCCGTAACTCCATTCATAGTATCGGTAGCTTTATCAGCACCGGATATACCACTTAATACACCCTGAGCTTTCTCACTACCATCTCCCAAAGATTTCTGAGCATCATCTGTAGATGGTAGACCACCCTTGACAGCACCAGCTGTATCCGTAACGCCTCCAAGTTTCTTTGCGGCAGTATCTTTGATACCGCCGAGTTTCTCTTGCGCGTCACCAGTGGCACCCCCGACTTTGCTTTTGGCATCGCTGGAAACTACATCTGTTTGTGACTGGACACCGCTAAATTTATCCTCTACACCATCAGTGACACCTGAAGCTTTGTCCATTGCGTCACCTGTAACTCCATTGACTTTATTACTGGCATCTTTACCAAGGCTGGATGCTTGATCTGCTTTGCCTTGTGCGGTATCTTTGACGTCCCCGGATTCTTTTTCAACACTACCCTTCGCTTTTGATCCAGTGTTCTTAACCTTATCAGTTGCGCCACGTACAGCTTCGGTGGCTTGATCAGCGCTTGGAGGTTGACCCACTGTATCTTTGATTTTGTCCACTCCATCCTTGGTACTCTTAGATGCTTTGCCTCCAATATCCTTTGACTGAGCAGTGACACCAGAAGAAGTGTCTTTTACTTTATCAGCGCCAGGTACATTACCGATAGAGTCTTGGGCTTTCTTAGCTCCACCGCCTAGAACACCATTTGCTTGTCCCAGAGCACCTTGTGCGGCCTTGGAAGATTTGCTAAGAAATTTCTTGGGTCGTTGAGCTGCATCCTTCACAGGCTCTGGGGTCGACTTTGTTGTATCTTCGATAGGCTTGGTAGTCTGTTTGGGAGGTTCAGATTTCGTTACTGATTTGAGTGGTTCGATGGTTTCCTTGAGGTCTTCCGGAATAGGAGGTGCAGACGTAATGATATCTGGTTGAATATCAGGAATAGCCTGAGCTAACTCATTATCCTCTTGTTCTACTCCATCACTCTCCTCATCCTGCGCCTCTTCCATATCTTCCCCCTCGCTGATACCTTGTTCTTCATCATCTTGAATATCGGAATCATTATCAATTTCATCCTCATTGTCGCTTCCATTTTCCTCCTCTTTTTCGCCATCGGGCATTTCGATGCCTTCATCTTGGTCTCCCTTTTGATCTGGCTTCTCTGGCTCTTCCAGTTCTGTCACAGGCTCAGATTCCTGCTCCTGATCGTCAGGTTCCGGTATTGGCTCAGAATTTTTGACCTTGGAAAACTTTTTTGGTCGAGGTGTTTGCTTTTCAGGCTCGGGCTCTTCCTGGTCCGACTCTTCTGGATCCTCTTGCTCCTCTTCTTGTTCTGGCTCTGGTTCGAGTACCGGATCAGGCTTCTTAACAGACTTCTTGAACGTTTTAAGCTTCGGTTTGCCCTCAGATCTTGGCACGGGCGATGGCGATGCTACTTGAGGTTGAGGAACACTTTTGTCAGCTGGAGGTGTTGCTGGTAGCTTGGGTGCGAATTTCTTGGCCTACATTGGTTTAATGTTAGCCTTCTGACTTCCATCGAATATTCTTTCAATCTTTCTCTTTTCCTCCTTTCTCTCTCATCACTTTGAGGAGACTCTCGTTTTGGTGGAGGTAAAGGTAAAGGCATGACGTTTAGTTCGGATATGAGGAGAAGTAGTACGGTTGGTGAAAGGATGCAGATAATCCAGAGCAGAAAACTTACTTTGGTGGTGGAGGCCTGCTTTGCGGATTTCTCTACATCATTGGATTCTTTAGGAGCAGTCGGTGTTGGTAGATTCGGTACCGATGGTTTCTCGGTAGGTATTGAAGCAACATCTGCTTTCGGAGTTGCAGGCTTCTTCTTGATTGGAGTTTTGTTGGTCTTCTTTAAGACTTTCTTGGGGGCTTCCTGTGTGTCTGCCATATCTGAGATTTCTGTGATTGTAGAAAATGCGAACTCAATGAAAACTGGATCGTAATGAGATGTGCGCTGCTTAGCAAAAGGTGTCCACTGGTAACGAACGAAACTATGAGGAGACAGTTTGACTGATGCGCTTTACAAGTATATACAGAGATCAGTTGTGTAACAATCAAAATCACTAAAATTTGACGCTGTGTTTCTCTTAGTAATTAGCTGCGAAAAGAATGATCTCACTATCTCGAATGTATCACAAAAACCAAGGCTGTGCCCAACTATGAGCCAACTTCTGATTGGAATCGGAATCTTACACTGGTTGCGTCAACTCTGAGGCCTTATTGAGGGAAGCAAGAGTCTACAGGCACCCCGGTGGAGACCAACTTCTAGCCACAGATTGGATAGCTCTAGCTTCTTGGATAGCAATGCATCAAACTTGTATCATATCTATCCCACCTTGTAGGTTGGAATAAGCTCATTGGATCTAACCCCTTCAGCTTACAAGCCACACCATTTTTATCCTGATATCCTGAACAATGAAAACATTCGGGGATCACGAACAAGCCATTTTGTGAAAGATCATCGATCCTTTCGACTTGTTGGATGGTTTGGAGTTTGGAGGCTTGGTAGTGAAGCTGTCGAAACTTGTCCTTGTACAAGAATACAGTTGCGGCAATACTTGCACACACCAGCCACAGTTGTCAGGCGAATAGCTTCGTATTGTAAAGTCAGTACCGGTATCTGTGCATTGAGAATAAAAATGTGCTGCAGCTAGTATCGTATGCATATAGGAGAGAAAAAGAGGATTCGAGCTACAAGAATGCCTCTTCTCATTAGAGAGAGATATCCTCCGAGATAGATTTTTGGATTTCACTTAGGGACATAGGTTTTTACACTAATTTCTTGGTAGTTTTTGATGCAAATTGAAAGTTTTTAACACCAAGATTGATCTCTTGAGTTTAGCTTCAAGATTATAGACTTACAAAGTATATTATATTGTATTCCTTGGATGGGTGCGTGGGTGGAGGATCTACTTGAGTAGAACTTGGTGGGATAGGATCATAAGAAATTATGTTGAGGGGGAGGGGGCTGTTATTTCGAGGGTCGAGGTTATTAGTCATCCAAATCAACCAATGATATACTTACTACCTAATGATATCGAGAGACAAGAGACACATATTAGCACAACTCTGATCACCGCACCGGGCAATAAAATCGGAGATATTTGATCTAAAGAGTTAGCAATACAAGAATCCGATATCCAATTATTTCTTTAACACCAGCTAAAGTTAGTATACACAACGGATTCTCGCATCAGAACAATATAATTCACCAGTGGAAAGGATAACTAGGTATATTGAATTTCGTGCAGCACTGCAGTCTACGGGCCAGTCTCCCCAGCCTACCCAGGGCCATATGGAAGAAATAAAGTTGGCAATACGAAGCAATTACCCATCCATCCATCATCTACAAAACAACAATAACAAAAAAACTTGGAAATTCAACTAGATCCAACGCTTGAAGCAAGCCTCAATTTATCAATTAATTCGGATATCATATCTGCCAACTAATTTACTAATTTACTCTCTTTTACCTACTCGAGTATTCGATATTCGGTAATCCAACATACACAATATACAACATACAAATGGAACTTGCAAGCCACAATAAACATCAAAAAAGTTCAAATACAGAACGCGGGGTCAAGGATATTTCCAAATTGTACAGAAAACGCGATAGTCAGTCAATACAATAACCATACTTTCACTTTCCCATCACTCACAGCCTGAGCCAACAAATTCCATAATCTAATCTGCATTCAAACTTTCTGCCTACTGTAATAAGCTCTCCATATCCATATATCATGACTCGAGTAACTCATAGTTGACAGCGCGGGCTAATTTAGAGTCTGAGGGGCTTGTGGAAACGAAACGAAGGATGTGTGCCGTTGGGCTAGTAGATACTAGACGGACGCTATTTGTGATTAAGATGGATGTAGGATATAGGCTAGAAGGAACGCTAGAATTTCGAGGATTGCATTGCTAGTGGAGGCTAGGGGCTAGGGGCTAGGGGCTAGGGGCTGGTGGAACGTTATTGTGTCAACTGTTAATATTGAAAATATAGGCTAGAAGGGGTGCTAGAAGTTTAGGGTTGGTGGGACGCTGTGTGATAACAACACTCCACCATTTTAGAAGAAGAATGGATGTTGGAACTCATTGCATCTTGTGTCGGAAGTACAATCAATCAGTACAATTGAAATATCAGTTATTGCGAATATATTGCAAAATTTCCATATTCAAGATTTTTAATCATCAAATCTAAAAGTACAATGCCATTAAGGTTATCATTCAAAGACCCCGAACCCCCCTTCCACACTCAAAGCACCCATCCCTCACCATGAATAAACAGCAAAGCAAAAGAAATAAGTACACAAAAAAACTCTCCCTATAACACGATATATAAAGCCATCCATCTCTAGCCAACATGTTTCTTTACTCTATCCAGAACTAAAGTAACACGATTGAAGTTAGAATGGATAACCTTAAACCTCTCTCTCTCTCGCTCACGACCTATTGAAAAAAAAATCATCAACTCAACCGAGCTTTCAAAGTAAACATTGAGAGATACTTGTTCTCGACATACATTTACGTCGTGAGTAAAACAACCGACTGGGAATTTGCACTTGCTAGCTGGGAAGGGAGGGAGGAAGGGAGGAAGGGAGGAAGGGAGGAATATTGGAAAATGAAATGGGGGTAAACATACAATAATGCCAAAGTCAAATCACCATGAATTTTAGCCTTCAACTCAATCTCAATTTCGAGATTTACATCCAATCTCAACTTCAAAGGTTGTTTGCCTTGATCCTTCGCAACAGCACTACCTTGTTGCTGTTGTTGTTGTTGTTGTTGCATCATTTGCATTTGTTGTTCGTGTTGTTGTTGCTGTTGTCGCATCATTTGTTTATAATCGTTCCCATCATCTTTTTCGAGGAATTGAGGACGATCGCGACGCTTGCGACGGGGTTTACGAGCAGGAGCTTCTTCTTCTTCTTCCTCTTCTTCCTCTTCTGGCTCAGGCTCCTTGAATTTACGACGACGGTGCTTCTTTTTTTTCTTTTCGGGTTCAAGGATTGGTGGTTCGGGTTCGTTTTGGACGGCTGTGTCTTCGCTTTCTTCTACTTCTTTTTGGGGATCTTCTGCTTCTTGGATCTCTTCTTGGCCGCCTTCGTTTTCGTCAGTAGTGGCTTCGGCACCAGTTTCTATGCCTCCTTTGTTAGTTTCGACTTCATTGCTAGCTTCTTTCCATTCATTTTCGTCTCCTAATTATGCCTTGGCCTTCTGCTCCATACCTTCTTGTCCATGCTCTCCTTCTCCCTCTCCTCCATCCTCTCCACCCTCTCCATCCTCTTCCTCCTCGTTCAACTCCTCATCTTGAGCCACGTCTTCTTGCTCACTGCCTACTTGTTCGTTTTCTTCATTTTCTCTTCCAGGTGTAGCTTCAGGAGTAGGCATCCCCTTTTTTCCACCAATAGGTGTACTGCTTTTTGGTGGCATGATAAGATGTAGATATGTAGGATATGTAGGATATGTAGGATATGCAGGATATATTCAAGTAATGATATATATAGTTTGAAATGCAACACGCACTCGTATACGTGAGAAAAGGGTATATAGTATAGGTATGAATAGAAAATATGGACTCTCGATACTCGTATATTGAAAATTAATAATGAAAGTAACTCAGCAAAGTTATAGATTTATCTTATATGAAGCAGCTAAAGGTGTGATGTGTAAACTTGGAAGCTCATGCCCGATTCTATGCTATGGAGCAAGCTTTCAGAAAAATAATACAACTATGACATAACCGTTGCCTTCATTGTTACCCTTGTACGATGCAGGGACATTCCCTTCTCTTCCCGAGATGGAATGGTCGAGTCTTCGAGTCTAGAGGCGCATAACATTCAAAAATCAAGGCTAATTGGCATTTTAACTTGAGGAGTCGTAAATAAATCGGGATATCTAGCTCTTCTCAATAACGTATCAGTCTATCAGGATTTTGCAAATGAGAAATTGTGTTATACCCTGAAGCTCTGTACAATATACGTACACCAAAAGAAAGCCACCAGCCACAAACACCTTATTTTCTACTCGACGCCTACGCTCAAATAATGGTCACGAGTCTTATGACTTCATCTGCATAATACCATTTCTTATAGTACTGGGGAAGAAATCATCTTACTCAGTACATGTGGTATGAAAAGATAAGTTGTGGCTGATGAATAACTAGAATGGCAATTGCATCTCACAGCACCTTCTCTGACACTGAACTCAATTAAACACTACTCGGATACCCCACTTCAACACCAACCTACAGAATATCAATAACACGACCATAGGATAATACGATATTCCACGATAGCATTCAAGTCCGAAACAGCACATCAGATGAGAATCAAATCATGGCACTATTCTTAATGTTTGTAAACGCCATACCGACGGTAATTGGTACTGCTGAAGCTCTCGATGTTCAAAAAAAGGAGGATCTGGCTGAGAAGCACAAGGCAAAGTTCTTTATGACAGCGAATTTTGCTTTAGACGGGAAGTCTGCTCATGAGAAGGAAGCACAAGTCGTTTTACGAGATCATAGGGTATGTTTCTCTAATACCATGTGCTTGGTGAAAAAACTATGGTGAAAAGGAAGAAATGTACTGACTTTGGACAATTTGCAGATGTATCTAAATCATCCAGATGCGCCGAAAGAAGGACATCGATTCTGCGGATACTATTTCATGTATCCAGGCACGAAAGAACATGGCTTGGTCTCGACCATTCAAGATGATCCTCCGATGTTAAATTGGATATACGTCGATTCGAATACTCTCGAAGTACGATATGGGAGCAGGGGTGATACGGTAGACAACTTAGCACATCCATGGGAATGGTCAGAGGATGAAGTTAATTTGACATTGGATGAAGACGAGGGATTTGTCGCGGTGGAGGTTGAGCCTGGAATATGGCAAATTTATTTTGATAGGAATGGGGATTTCTCTGGACTTCCTGAAGGAAAAGAAATTCAGGAAGTTTGTTTGATGAGACGGATGATGTGTGGATGGAATAGTCAGCTAGTACCAGCCGACAAGAAAAAGGAGGGTGGTTGATATTCAATGGTGGAAATAATATAAAATCAAATCTCACAATAGCCGCTCGAAGTCCTCGCATCTTCACTGCACTGTACGACCCAGATCTAGAAGTTCATACTACAATACACACGAGACTCGACAGACTCGAACTTTTTCGAGTCTCGAAACATCAAACGTGCACGAAACCCCGAAACAATCAGTTAGCATGCATAATGACGAAATCCCACTTCTTTCAACCAAGAAGATGGGGAAATATGGCGTCAGGTAATGCCTGTAAATGCTTGTAGCTGACCCACTGGGGTCAATATATTTTTACCAGCCACAAGACAACTGTTTTCGCAATCTGCCAACTTTGACACTGCGTCGATGTCAGAAACTTGCTTAAGACGGGCTTCGAGAAATTGGCTACAGGTTGTTACTTTGAAAAACAAGAAAATGACTTTCGAGGGTAGGGGGGTCTACATCAAATGGATGATGACGTGGATTTGGCGCAAGCAGGTTCGAATCTCGAGAAATCTGTCCAGTCTTTCTTTTAAAGAACTCGGGTTCGAGTCACTTATATTTTCATACTGTTCAATCAGATAAATAAACAATTATATATCATATTCCTATCCTTTCAAGAGAATATAATACATTTTTGTATTTTCAACACCCACTCATACAGAGATCTCTTTCCCAACCTTCTACCTCAACCATGGCAAGCCAAGCCTCGTCGAAGCCCAAGGCTGGTGGTGCCAAAACTGCCAGCAAGAGCAAAAAACCCCCCCCAAAGAAGAGACAACCAGAGCCAGAATCCGAATCCGAAACTGAAACTGATTCCGACGACTACAGCTCTGAGGAATCGGAAGAAGAAGCACCCCCTCCACGTCGACAAGTGAAGCAAAAACAAAAACCACAAGGCGGTGGCGGGGGTGGACCACTGGGTGGTGTCGGTGATATGGTTCCTCTAGGACAAGCTACCGATACCGTGGGTGGTCTTGCCGGTCAAGCTGGAAATACACTTGGCAATGTCGCTGGCGGTGTCCTTGGAGGTGGTGGTGCGGAAAAGAAAGGAGATGATAAGGAGGATACATTGAGATTACGACTGGATTTGAATCTCGAGGTGGAGATTACGCTGAAAGCGAAGATTCATGGGGATTTAGAATTGGCATTGTTGTAAGTTGAAATCATCTTTACTATTATGACTTCATTCATTTTTTCCCCTCTTGTTCTGACCATGGTAAAAGGGATACGGGTGGATAAGAAAGACTCTCTTGCTCGAGTGTTCGTTTGCTGAAACGTTTAATAATTTCGTCGGTTCCTATTGCAGCTTGATGTAGTGCAGTGAAGTTTAATGTATGGTTCGGTTCGCGTTCGTTGGTCTCGATTGTTTTACCTTACGTCTCTAACGTGTGAAAAGTCTTCCTTGAGGACATATCTTGGCAAAAAAAAAAAAAAAAAAAAAACTGCTGCTAACGGGTTCTTTTGGCAGGAACTAATTAGCTTCTCATCATGATCTTTTTGATGGTGGGAATAGAATCTTGGGATTCTTCGGAGTGACAAGGGAGTGTAGGATCGGGTTCTGTTTTGGTGGTATGAAGGAGTTTTTTGAGTGCATGGAGATTGGGTGAAGGGGTGAAGGGGTGAAGGGGATTGATTTTGACGTGTTCGACGATGTGTATTATATACCCATTCTCTAAAGTGGGAGTTTTAATGCCTGAATGACTTTTCCAACTTGGTTGAGAGACTTTTGACATGGCCATGTGTTATGATGTAGTTCTCAGGTTTCAGAGAGTTCGTGACGTCTTTGATGATATCCCTCGGGTGGGTACATACAGAAGATTCGGAGTAAACTAACCGGAGTGTTGATTGCGAGAGAGATTGGGTTGCTCAGTGAACTTTCCTAGGTACTATGGGGATTTGAAGGGTAAGTGGGAGAAATGGGTGGGAAATAGAACTTGTGAATTGAAATCAAACTGCTCCAAAATAAAACCACTGGGTTTACAAGCCAATCTGTATCCATAATCACCTAGGATTGTACCTTGGGTAAGAGCTTTCTCTTGTGCAAAAAGTATCGAGTTCAAGAGAAGAAGGCCAGTATACTCGAAGTAGAAGATTGAAAATACGTTAAATCGATGGCATTCACTGAGGTAGTCGCGACTACGAGTACAAGCTAGATTTAGGTCCAGCTGTAAGGTTACTCGATTAGATTTGACTCAAGACTATGGATGGGATGGACCTTTGAGAGATTTCTAATATACTTTGTAAACTACAGCCTCAAAAAACCAAACTTTTCTCTGGTAAATCAAATTGACATCTAAGAAGACATCTTGAGATAAAAATAGTTTCATTTTTATTATAAGATCTTACAAAGGAAAGGGTGTAGGAATTAAGGGGAAGCGGTTGCACGTGCTTCGTTTCACACACTATAACTTAGTGTGTCGAGTACCCTAAATCTCTTCGGTCGCAAACTTTTGCAATTTTTACATTTCATTCATTCTCAACCACAAATATGAGTATATTCATAGCCATTGCTAGGAAACATGGCTCGGTAACCTATCTTGATGTCAAGTCAAGTAGTCTTGATCGAGAACTCTCACTTTAGCTAGGAAAAGGAATTGTCTGCAGCTTTTCTTGATATGCTGGGCTGTCAATTCGGAAACGTACATATGCAGGCAGATCCCAAGTCTTGCTGCCGATTTAGGCGATAAACGAAGTCTTGTTAATCGAATTGCATGGAATAAACAATATACAAGTAGTAGGATAAACTTTCAAGTATAACAGTCAAAGCACTCGCATGGATGACTTATTGATCAGCAAGGCTGGGTTTGCAGATGATATACTGTAAAAGCAAATATCCATACTTGAGACAACAAGTCACAATTCACGGGTAGCCACTGCTTTTCCACATTAGATAGTTCCATCCATTGCTATGGTAATAAGCTAAGGCAATTGAACAAACACATATAATACTTTCATATCCAATCAATTCTTAATAGATCAAAACGCAATCAGAAAAAGCATCATTTTCTTTCCCTAAGCCATAGTTCTTACTCAGATCATAGCTGATCACAATTCCACACTTCCGCCAAAGTCAGACCCGGAATCGATGGCACCCCTACCACTTCCGATACTCTGCTGGATTTCCTGGGTTTCCTGGGTGTCCTCAATCTTGATCTCCTCATCTTCATCTTCATCTTCATCGCTTGTGACTGTCTAGAATACCCGGGAGTCAGTGATCAGAATATAGAAAGATAGAAAAGTCAAACAAAGTTAGATAGTGAATAGTGTACAACGAAAAAAAAGCATTAAACTCACATCCTTGATCGGAGATTTGACTTTGGCCTTTCTGCTAGGAAGACTTTGTAATGGAGTCTCGGGAACAATTTCCTTAATCTCTTCCTTATCGTAGCTATCGAATTGTGGTTCATCATCCTCGTCATCGCTGACTATCACAGACTTCGAGAGCTTTTGCTTCTTTGTAGGACTTCTCTTGTTAGCTTTGCTCTTCGTTGGTGATTGTCTTTTCTTCGGCGTGGCTGGTGGAGAGGTGGTGCTGTTCCCATTTGATTCTTGGCTGAAGTTGGGCAGAGTCTTCTTGAATCGTGCCCAGCGCATCTGTGCAGCTGATTTGATGGGCAGATTGAGGTTCTTTGCAACTTTGTCCCAGTTGATATGGCCGATGTTGACTTGACTAAGGATGGAACCCATTAGCTTCTGCTTTTCGGCATCGCTAGACATGGTTATGTTGAATGTGAGAATGTCTTCTGAGAAATGGGTGTATGAAAGAAAGAGGTGATTATTGGGAAAGATTATCTAGAGACAAATCACTAATATATATATATTTATCACATTCATATACTTATTTGATTTATAGTGAACTTTCTCGGCTGAATCATTTATTTATCAAGGTTTGTATAACGGAACAATGAATCCAAACCATCTATCTCCCTATCAACATCCTTGATATCAGAACCATCATTTCCTTCCGCATAAGCTTGTTGTGCATCTAATGCTCCTCATCCTCGCTCTGTGATCAAGAAATTAGTAATTGCCTAATAAGGAATGGTTCTGGAGGAAATAATGCTCAAGTTGAAAGTAAAAGTATATACAGGCTCCAGATCGGGTAACAAGTAATGTGAGATCAATGCGGGTACATACCTCTTCCTTAACAAACTTTCTTTTCTTAGATGAACTCTTTGGATTGGTTCCCTTGTCCGCCGTCTGATATCCATCTCCAACGTTTCCCTCAGACTTGGCATTGGACTTGGCATTGACAATAGATGTGGATTTGTCCTTGGTAGATTTTCCCAAAACAAGACCACTCTTCTCCTTGTATCTAGACCATCGCTTGCTGGCGGCTCCCTTGGGGTCTTTGCCCGTGTTAATTCCGAGGTCCTTGGCAAGAAGCTCGAAGTCAAGCTTGACATTCGCAAGGTCCACTTGCTTAAAGACGGCTTGTAAAAGCTTCTGATCTGAGGCGTCGGACATTTTGTAGACTAGAGACTTGTATCTAGATATCAGATGAATGATTAAAATGGTATTAGATTTATTCTAGGATGAATGTATATACTTACAATTGGGATTTTGATTGTTAGGCGGAATTGTGCAATTGTGGTTACTGCTTGGGAGACTTGAGACAAGGGAAGGTGAGTAATTTTATAAGTGTACAGGACAAAATGTGGGGTACAGGCTATGATCTAAACGGACCACAAGAGTAGATATTAAAAAGAATAAGCTCATTGTTTATTTCTTATCTCATTTCTGCAAAAGTAGCTTACCTAAAACAAATAAAACGAGTAGCTGCATAATTTTAAGCCTTGTCTCCTGAAAATTGTAACCCATGAAGTCCATCTCCCTGTTCTCCCAACTGTAGCCATTCAATGCCATCCTCGAATGGACCACTATGCTCCTGCTTGACAGCCTCGTCCCCATCAAATCCTCCCTTGTCTTTGTTTGCTTTACTCCCTCTGCTCGGACCCGGTTTCGAAGTAGTTGCATTCAACGACATGGTGATCGATTTATTGATTTTCTTGCGCTGTGCACATGGCTCATCTAATTCCTCCTTCACGGATAGCGGCTTCCGACCTCGTTTCTTCCCCTTCTTGGCAGGTTTGTTGATTACCGCTGCTGCCTGTCCAACACTCGAATTCCCTTCCACTATAGTGTGCTGAGCTGCATTATCGACTGCCGTTATTGCTTCTTCAACTTTCATCTCCTCCTATCTTATTCACATCATCCTTGAAAAGCTTCGCTTTAAATCGACACCAGCGGACAGCAGCTGTTCCAGGTTTGATTCCAAGAGTTGCGCCGAGTTTTCCATTGTCGACTGCAGGGAGAGGATCCCACTGGCTCAGCACAGCGATGAGGAGTTTTTCGTCGTCGCTTTCTCGGTAGGGTTGGCTTTTGGAGGCATTGTTGTAGATCTTTTGTAGTTTTATGATTTGTGATGGTGGTGACCTGTCTGGAGAGGTAAATGTGTGTAAGGGCGTGAGAATTACATGTATAATATGAACTTCACAGTCTCAATATATATTACTCAATCAAAGTAGTGGCTGGTTTCTAGGTGATTCTTCATCCATATAATGTATCTGCCTATCTGAGAACCCCCTGCATCCCAACCACAATCTCAAGCCTCATCATGGGTTGTACAGCCATCCAGTATATTGCCAGGGCGTCTTATTTTTTCCCCCGTTTGTTGGTTGTTTAGATGTCTCGGTGTCGCTATCCGAACCACTATTATCAGTCCCAACCTTCGATGTTTCTGCCAATGGCCATTGATCGACCACTGTTTGTTTAGATGTTTCAGTGTCGTTGCCTGGCACACCATTAACAGATCCAGCCTTCGTTGCTTCTCCCAACAGGGCTTGATCAACTGCCGTTTGAACTCGATTTCGTATCCCAAACCTCGCTTTGAATATAGCCCATCGCATCGCAGCCGCTCTCGAGTTAATGCCAAGTTCCGCACCAAGCCGATTCATATCTAATCTAGGTAGGCGCTCGAATTGACGCAGAACAGCAATGAAAAGCTCTCGATCGGTGGGTGCAGGTGCAGTACCGGCATTCACCCTTGCTTTGAATCGTACCCAGCGCATGGATGCAGCTCCGGCTCTAATGTTGAGATCTTCCCCTAGCTTGCTCATATCTATTCTGAAAGGTTTCCATTGGTGAAATATAGCGAGAAGAAGCTTGGTATCGTCATTCCTTGCCATGGCGTTATGTACTACGGATGTTGTGATATGCTTGAGTAGTGTAATATGACAGGTTGCTTGTGGGGGTCTTGGTAGAGGTGCAGAAATACATGACAGGGGTTAATCTTCATATCATTCATAAAGCAGATCAAAGATTAAGTCAGAGTTGTTTCTAGGATTTTCTTCAATTGCCTAGTCAATTAATTGCCACTGTTTCTCTTAAAGTTTCTTTGATATCCCAATTTCACAGTGCTATCCCCGAAAAATCCCCCCATTGTTTCATGTTTGTGATCACTCATCCTGGTCAGGATCCTGGTAGATCTGGAACGAATCACCGGGTCCTGTATTCATAAACATCTTGTCCTCGCCATGTGTATTAACAGCTTCATCAATACCTCCCTCAGATGAATATCCTTCAGTGCTGCCTTTGGTACCAGACTTCGCCTTCTTGGCAGGAGAAGCCGATTCATCCAAACCGCCATTGTTGACGTCGACTTCCTCCTCCATCTTTGTGCGCTTTGGATTCTTATTACCAGCTCCTCCCCTTGTAGTGATCGACAGATCTTCAAATGTAAATGTACCTGTTCGAATCTTCGTAGTCAAACGAGTCCACTAGTAGACCAGAAAGTCAGAAATTGCTTATCATAAACCTGTCAAACAGAATTTTTGAAAAGATTATTATACTTACACGATCTCGAGCAGAACGAGCTGAGGGAAGTCCCAGAGACTTAGCTAAATCCCTGTAGTTGATGACAAGAATTTGGTTGCCGTGGGCCGACTGACTGAGAACTGCAATCATAAGCTTCTCGTTATCGGACAAGGATGATGTAGTTGATGTAGACATCTTGATTGCTTTTTCGAAGTATTGGAGGTTATTTGCGTTGGTTTTATTGTGTTCTCTTGTCGAAGTCTGTAATGAGGAAGTTGTTGTGAAAGGTCGTTGTGGGGGAATCTCAAGTTGGATGGTATAGATTGGTATTCTCTTGTACGAAAGGTGAGCAATGGGATTACCCGATGGAGACTTGTCGAGGGGGATGGTTCGGATGGTACGATAATAGAAGGAGCTGGTCTAATGTGGGTCTATCGAGGCTCTCCGAGGCTCTCCATATAACGACTCCCAGCATTTGTATATACTTCACTATTCGAGTCGGTGTCGTACTCTAATTTGTCTTCAACATCTAATCATATTCTTCCCCGTCTACGCTGTGATGGCTACAACGTAAACAACAAATCTCACCATATGAATGCAGATCCGTTGAAAGCTTCTCAAGTTCCCTAAGGTATCTTCGTTTCTTGATTCATTGACTAGACCCAGGTTTGCTTTCCCGAATGCATCACCCCTTCATCAATGCCTCCATGAATTCCTCCGAAGCTCACCAATCTCTTATATCTCTCACCCCTCTGCAGACCCAGTCTACAGTGCTACTCGCACAATCTCAGAATTTATCGTCTCCATCCCCGTCCAGCTCAATGACATCCGCTTTAACAACCTTTTTCTTGCCCCTTCCCCTCACTGCTTTCTTAACACCTCTGCTTTGACCGCAGTTAGTATATCTTGCTTTCAGTACACTGGGGATCGATACTGACTTAAGTTCCTGTGTGGAGGATAGCCCAGGCTCGTTCGTGGTGGCCGCCACCGGTACCTCGACAACCGCTCGTCTATTTACCGGGGGTTCTACAGAATCTCTCACAACAAGGATGTCTCCAAAGTCTCCAAAGTTGCCGTTTTTTTATCTTATCCGTGAGATGACGCCGTTTGCCTTGTGCGGCGTGCCGGTCAGCGAGACCGAGGAGTCTTGCCAACCTTGTATGATCTGGTGTAGGGAGAACGTGATTTTGGGACGCAAATTGATTCAGCACTGCAACAAGTACCTTGAGGTCATCGGTAGTCGGAACTGCAACCATATTGACGTAAATTAGTTATTCCGAGTTGATTGTGTGGCGTGGCTATTCTGTGATAGTAGAAGAACGTGTTGTATTGTAAGGCACTGTGTTGTGGTTGAATTTAAGGGGAAACGATATCAACAGATTTGTATTAATCATATACTTTTGTCACGTTTCAAATGATTTCCAGATAATTCTTCATTCTTTCAAATTCATCTGTGTACATCGCGACAGAAGAAACTAATGACTCAGAGTCTTCCCCTACCAAGCGACCGAGAGCCCTTCCCTCCAAACGCGGTCGAAGTAGCAAAGTCATCGACAAAGGACGACGAAATAAGGTTGGCAAAGAATCGCATGGAGAAGTGATCAAAGCAGAGTTTGATAGGATGGAGGATCAGCAGATAAAAGATCATCTAGATTGGCTTGAGGATGACGTCGCTTGAGTTTGTGCATTGCAAGTGCAGGAATGGAATGTTGGTCTGTAGGTCAAACAAGGATACAAAGACTGGTGTAACGGAGACTGGATCGGTGTGGGACTTTCTCGATAAGGCAAATGTATGCCTGGACGAGTATAGGGGGTGTGGATGGATGCATTTGGATGCATTTTCTTTCCCGGAGACTTCGATTCCTTGGGCGCTTCGCGAATCTTGAGGTCCCCAAAATCTCCTCTCTTGAGCTCATCCCTAAGTCGACCACAAACTCCTTTCGCAGAATTATAACTAGGCAGCCCAAGATCTTCTGCAAGCTTGTTGTAATCGGGTGCGGGAAGAAACTCTTTGCTCTTACTTGAGTTTTGAGACAAGGCGGATGAGAATCTTGAATTTATTTTCTATTGATTGAGGCATATTATCGGGGGTTGTGGTATGATTGTTTTGTGGTTTTGTTGAAGGACTGTTGTATTGGGTTGAAATATGGATGGTAAATTTAATGTCAAGAGATTTCACAAGATAATATACTTTTGTCACATTGCACAAGTTCTTTTAGAAAAAATCTCCTAGATATATAATTGCTTTTCCGAGCATATCCGCCCCTTATGCAAAGCACAGACAATCCCCTGTCAGCCACCAACCACCAATATCCAATATTTGCACCTCCACTTCAGCCCTGCACAATCACAATCCCAGCACCCCACGATCTCAAAGCTCGTCGTAATTGCTGCTGAAAATTGCATCCTCAAATGCTTGGTCCTCTTTATCAATTCTCTCCAGCTTAACAATTGCAGCTTTTGCCTGTCCTTTATCTTTCTTTTTGCTCAGGCTCGGTGGTTCGGCGGAATCGTTATCGACGTCTGCAAGGAGGAGGTGTGATACCAAGTCGGCCTTGGAGACCCCTCCAGCGAAGTCGGGCACTCTCAACCATAGCTCTGGTGATTTCATCGGGCTGCAAGTCGGGCTTGAGGGTTTGTGCAAGGAGTTTGAAATCCATTTGTTTATGCTGGGCGAGGGCTGCAATCATAAGTTCTTTATCATTCTCGTTCATGGTGGATGATAGCGAGTCGTGTTGGATTGGGTAAGTTGGATTGTGTGAGTTGGTGAGGTTGTGTTGGATTGATTCGATTTTATTGATCCTTAAAAATACAAATGTGTGTGAAACTGGGGATTCATATAGTCATAAAGCAGAGCTGAATGGAGTTTAGAGATATCAAAAAAAAAATAGAAGCTCGGAGTTTCGGGACAATAATGATGAATGTGTAACTGTATATTTGTTTTCAAGTCCTGCAAGTATTGCTTCCTGTGTTTGTTTTTTTATTCTTCCCCAATTTTTCGGCTGTTACCCAGTCAACCTGAAAGATTTCTATCACATTCACAGGCTAGGCTTTGTCGATATGATCCCAGTCTTCATCATCCTCGTCCTTGACAGCCAAACCTCCCATTCCATCAACTTCTGGGTCATCCTGCACGTCTCCGTCTTCCTCTTCTTGCTCATCCTCCGCGTCACTAGTCTCTTCCACAAACTTCGTAACTCTAGCTTGTCGATACGGCAACTTGCGCAATGGCGTGACCGGTTCCTCCACCTTGATGTCAACATCCGTGCCTTCCTTGTCATAATCCATTTCCTCGCCTTCCTCGCCTGCATTCACTTCCTCTTCCTCTTCGTCTTCGTCGCTCTCTCTCTTAATAGCTCGACCGCGTGATTTCTTCAGACTTTCGCGACCGCTTTTCTTTGGACTTCCCCCAGCCTTTTTGGGTGACACTGCCCCAATTTTCTTGCTCGCTCCAACCGCCTTTCTGGCAGAGGTCGGTGGAAGACCTGCCCCCTTCGCAAGCTTTTGCCTATATCGATCCCATCTGCAGCGAGCTGCCTTAGGTGTGGCGACACCAATGTCTTTGGCAAGTTCTGTATAAATCAACCATATCAGCTACTGTAAACGCTAGTGATAAATTGATAATGTAACTTGACAGGAATAATGCAAAAAGAGCTGTTCTTTTAGGAATGCACAAGTAAATGATGACTCTCACTATCGTAGTCAATGCGACCAACTTCCACTTGGGACAACACGCTCATGACGAGCTTTGTTTCGGTAGATGACATTTCGAGAGAGATAGTAGGCTGAAATGAAGAAGATCCGACTTTAATTTGTGCTTGGTTGGACAGTGGAAGTGTTGTGTAGATAGAACTTATTTGCTCTAAGTAGCAGCTTTGGAGTTGACTTGATTGCTGAAGATATTTATTGAATAAGTGCAAAGGGGATCGAGCTCTTTATAGTTATATCTCTCTGTATCTCAAAAAAGCCAGACAAAAACAGATAAATTTCTTCTATAGACACCCATGCTTTTCTAAACTGTAAATTAATAAATGCATTTAATATTGCTATCTTTGAATAAATGCCTATTTTGAACATATTCATAGATTTGCACAAATATGTCATAGATTAGGATTCGGGCACAAGGCTGTTTGTTCAAAATCTACAATCAAGCATTGAAATCCATGGCAAAGAAACCCCAATATCATTCTAGAAACAAACACTTTGATACTACTACACTGTCCCATCCACACCTCCTGAAATTCGAATCCAGTGCCAAATTCAAGTGAGACACCTGGTATATGTAATTCCTTCAAACTAATGTATATCTAAGCTTCCCAATCCTCATCATTACTCTGCTCCACCATTCTGCCTTTCTTATTCTCGACAGCCGTAGTGTAATCGATATCTTCAAATCCAGACACACTTCTCTCGTCCTGATTATGACCATCCACACTCTCCTCGGTATCATCGCCACTCCACTTCTGCTCTTGTTTAACCACCTTTGTCGAATTCCTCTTGGGAAACTTCCTCGCTGGCATCTTCATCATCATCTGTTCCTCATCAGTCAAATCCTCATCCTTCATCTTTCTCTTGCCACCTTTATTAGGTGTACCTAGTCCGCTTTCCTCCCCCGAAACCTCGTGCTTCAACGGCGAACCAGTTAGTTGCCTTCTAGCAACTTTGGTGTTCGCTTCCACCTTCACAGGACTCTTTGCGGCTTTATTATTCTCCTTGCTTTCCGAATTTTCCTCATTCCCCCCAAATTCCTTAAATCCAAAGCTAATCTTGACTCGTGCCCACCTATGTCGTGCTGCATTCTCTCCTTTGACGGGTATATCCTTGGTCAAGCGTTTGAGGTCGATTCTACCGACTTTGATTTGTTTGAAGAGGGCGTTTAAGACGAGATTATTGTTCTTGACATCTGCAGGTGAGCCCGGTGTGCCGGGTGTGCCGGGTGTGCCGGGTGTGCCGGGAGTTTTATTTGTGTTTGTAAAGCTTTTCTTGCATCGGGCCCAGCGATGTCGGGCAGCATTTTCGCCAGCAACCGACATATCTTCGGCAAGACGTTTGAAGTTGATAGTGCCATGACCGCCTACATCGATTTGTTTGAAGAGAGCTGTTAGAACGAGGTTATTGTTCTCGATTTCTGCGGAGGAGGGCGTAGTTGTTGTGGAAGGCATGATTAATGTAAACTTCAAGTGGTGAAATCAAACTGTAATTTATTTTTAATTGTTCTTGGGGACGAGCAATTTGGATAGGTGGAAAGTGCCTGATTGAGGGAGGGGAGTGCTCTAGCTGTCACAAGCAATTTATGGCTAAAACCTTTTAATGAACAACAGCTCGCCTCGAGCCAAACATTGAAGTTTCTTCACCTTTCCTTAACCATCTCACCGAACCATCTTATGCAATGTTTCTTTTTCAATGATAATCTTTGATTCTCAAGGTTGACTAAACAAACAAAGAAGCAAAAAATGATAACAGTATAGCCGATGCCCCCCACATTCAAGGATACGTGCATATGCATGAGTCACATTTGGGACGACAAGTTACAGGGGGGTTCTTTTTACGCCAAACGCCACTCAATGTATTGTTTATCAGACCCCTAGCTAATGGCTCCAGAGAAGTCGAAGATCAAACCTAATCATCCAGACCATCCTTGACACTTTCCCAAGTAGTCCTGCCCTTGGCACCCTTGGCACCCTTGCCCTTTCCTGTGAAACCCTTATCCTTGACAGGAGTTTTACGACTGCGCTTGGTTGCAACCTTTTCAACGCCTGTCTCTTTCGTGGCGGCTTTCTGACCATCGACACCGGCCTCGCCTCCGATTGTAACCTCCTCTGTGACATATTTGCTCGCCGCTCCTGTGTCACCAACCTCACTATTCTCGCGCATTTTAATCTTCAAACGTGAAAACCGCTTGTCAACAGCAGCGTTACTCAGATCACCCAGCTGCGTTCCAATGACATCCCATTCAACAAGCTCATTGAGTTTAGACTTTGAAATCTGCTTGACTATACACCACAATAGTTCGGCGTCGGCAGGAGTAAGCTTAGTTGTTTCCGACATTTTCAAGTGACTTTGCGGTAAGCGAGTGAAGGATTGAGCTCAAAGATGAATTGGCTATGATTCGCCAAGGATGACAGTATTCTGTGATTTTGAAGAAGGTTTGAATGCAGTTCTGGGACTGCTGGTGGATCTTTGAGAATTGGTTGTGGTAATACTAAGATTATAGCTTTGATGTGCACTAATATGTTGATTGGGGCCCTTTGAGCCAGACTACAGACACGGTCAATATAATACAGGATTTGAGACTTCTGATAGATCATCCAGACCACATCTTGAAGTTTCATGAATCTTTTGGACCAGAGAAGAATGAAGAACACCGATCACTACTGAGCTGAATGAAATGATAAATGTAGATGTTACAACTTAGGTGAAGTATAACATTCTGCCATCCAAATATTCAAACGGTGGCTTCTTTGTGCGAACTGGGTAGAAGGCTGTATCAAAAGCTTTCTGGAAAATGAAATGGATAGGCAGGACGATCATGCATAATTGAGAGACACCTATAAGTGTAGATGAAACGAATGCTTTGATAATCATGAGTGTTTTGGAATCTTCCATACCTCATGCATTGGTCTAGATGCATAGAATTGAGCCGTATCCATGATTCAGGTACCATGTCTGACATGTTTTCAGACTTGAGCCTTGCAATGTAGGTTCAAATAGAGTTGAAGAGTTTGGTCTATCCAATTAGGCAACCTTTCTTCTCTCAACTTTGACAGTAAAAATGGTTGCTAAGTGATAAATTACCACGAGGGAGAATCAAATGGGCAAGGAAAGCTGAAGAACTTTCATGTTTGGCTCGAGGTGTTTCTAAATGTAGGTAGCGACGAAAGTCTTGCCATAAAATGGAAACGGTTGCCAGCTCGGACTGGTTCCTGCACACCATCTGCCATACATCCAAAGCGAGTCCACAAATCGACATCGTACGATAACTGCCAAGTCACATCAACCTTGAATTTAATACCTCAATTTCCCGCACCATCATGCCTCCCAAAACCAAGACTGTGGCCCCAAAGATCAACAATAACATACTTGTTTGGAATGCGCTTGCCAAACAGATCAATGTAACGGATACAATCTTAGGCAAGGTCAATATCGGACGTCTAAGGGACGACCTGGGAGTTGGCACAGCCAATGCGGCGAGTAAGAGATTGAGAAGATGGCTGGATTGGTTGGCTGAGCAAGGCAACTAGTCGAACGGACTTGTTAAAGACACTTCCGATAGTCCACACAGCATCGAGCCAACTGCAAAGGAGAAAAAGGCCGGATCACCATTGAAAAAGCAGACGAGAGAGAGCAGCATGTTCGGGCCACCAAAGAGAGGAGCAACAAAGAAAGTGGCTTTTGGTAAGAGAAAGAAGATGCAGGATGCGAACCTGACTGACGAGGGACAGAAAGTTCAAGTGTCTTCGAAAAAACCAGCGAGAATACATCCGAAGATGAACTCGAAGAAGATTATTGAGATCGAGAAGCAGTGGACTGAAAACGGCAAAACGGAAGGGGAAGAGTTAAATGGTCATGGAGACTACGATGGATACGGGTGGGAATTTGAGGAACATAAATCACAGTCATGTTGAGAATGAGAAGAGGACTATGAGGGCCGAGGATAATAGTGATGAAGATAAAAAATCGGATGCAAGTTGTGCGTGATTGAAATTGCAGTTCGGAGACTGCTCACAGTTTGAGCTTAGTTCTGGATTTTGGGATGGGTGACTAGAGGACTAGTTTGGCAGTAAATGAGATGCTTCACCTGATTTTCTGCTAGTGCCACATTCTAGAATCCGAAATTTGCATAGTATGACCGGAGGTTAACGAATCTACCTCGATGTATTTCAAAACACTATGATCGAAGCCATAACCTTATTCGCGAGTGTTTCGTGATATCCCCCAACTAGAGTAATTAGACGATGAATAGAATCGAGGGCTAATATTTTTGGCGAGAAAACCGTCAACGATGCTTGTTGTGCTTCTCACTGGAGCAACTACTCCGAAATATCCGGTAATCTCAAAAGACGTAGACAATGTGTTCGAGGTTGAAGCGTTCAAAATGAGAAGTTAGGATCACGGAAAGCAACATCGGAGAGTAGGCTTCATGGACTTGAGAAAATCCGAATGGAAATGTATAGATCTAGGGTCGAAATGTGTTTCTCTGCTATGATTGGAAGTGTCTACACGAGGATGCATCTATGAAGGTATTTCTCCCGCAAATATCACTAGATTGCAATTCATAGTGCACTCTTATGGATATTTGGAAATTCTGCAGTCACAGAAGAAACTTCTCCATTGATTAACAGCTGAAAAGTTCTTGGAAAATGCTGGGAACCCTTGATGCATATATGAAGTTTGGATAAATCCACGAGCCGTGCCATGACATGAAGTCACATATCTTCAATACTTCTTGAGTTGTAATATATCTGGTCCACATGATATCTGCAAGGTCAATCATGCTTGAGATAAACAAAGCCATGTCTAATTGCTGTAGTTGAATTGATTGATGTGTTTCGAAGAATACCATGACTTGGACCGAATCACCTTGACCATTTCCTTATATCGACCAAAGAATAGGGAGTAAAGTAGCTTGCTCTTCTGAGAGTGCAAGGCTATTGGGATACAACTGACAGTGATATCTTTAACAAATGCTATTTATGAGTTGAGTTTACCGTTTGTAGAATTGTTCTGTGAGATGAAGTCACAAGTCTTTTGTGAAGAGATGCACGGACCATTGGCACGCACCCTTAGTGCCTGAGATTCCCAGGGGTTAACACCTGAGCAAGACATGCCTACAACTTACTGATGCCAATTCACAAAGAGAAGATAGATATCGAGTCTTGGAATTGTGCCATTCTGCAAGCTCACTTATGTGTCAAGATATTAGCACGTACTTCTATACTCGAAGTATATATACATTTCCTTTTGGACCGAAGTGGCACTGCCCAACGTCGACCCGAATCATGATCGACATGCAGCTGCAATGAGTGGCACATAAGCATTGACGGAACCTTTCTCTCTCATCAAACTTCGAAAATCTCGATACTCATACCATCGACGATCTCCTTTCATAATTGATACTATATACTTGAGGTAACTGGATACACGAGGCATGGTCATCTGACGTAAGAGATACGCATGAAGCCAGTCAAAGAAAATGGCCTTGTTGCTTTGGCACAAGGACAAATCTTCGTTCTGGCTTTTGGGAGTGATGGCGATATGATTATACATTGCGGTGAAATATATTGACTGAATTGCAAGCCCTGGGATATCATATTGTCCATGGGCTGTATGTTTTTCTCTGCAGAATTATTCCAGTTGTATTGTATGCGTGTATTGAGAAGAGGAATCGCAGGGTTTGGTTAGTCTGTGATGCACACACATGTACAGCAAGTGCTGTAAGACTTTCTGTAAGTGCGTGTTTTCAACGGGCTCCCATCGCTGAGTATTGGGGTTTTTGTTTTCATCTACGCGCTTTGCTCTATTCCATTACTTGACCCAAAAGTAATGAGAACACCGAAGATGACATGTTCACCGGACATAAACGTCGGAAAGTGCGGCAGGACATACTGGATATTTCACTGCCACCGGGACAAAGTGAGTCCAGAAACATACCTGCTTAAAAGATAATAACGATGGATTGACAAAAGCCGAATTATTTGTGATAACGAAGTAGTATTCAAATCACACCGGCATGGTACTATGTCGAACCCAGGCATCTGGATGACCTTTCGGTAACAACCACGGAGAAATCACCCATTATTCCTGTCCGGAAACCTCGACAAATCCTCTGTAGAAGTTTTGAGGCTTGGATGTCATCTCGAGGTTGAATTTATCGATAAATTGCATGAGCGATTCGGATTGATCAAGGGGGCTGTTGTACACTAGCTAATTACAGATTACGGAAGATACAAGTCCGCTGTAATATTCCGGCCTAATATCCCGGTACTTTTCCCACGATCTGGTGATGAAGAATGTGAACAATTTGTTTTGAATATATTTTTGACCCTCTGTCGTTAATTGGTGTTCTTTACCCCGGATTTTACAAAATGCCTGCATGTGCCTTACGGATGTCGTACCGAATAGCCTGTGGAACTCGACGAATTGTTTACTTGCTACATTGTGAAGATTTGTCTCCATCAATCAACTTTGTGGCGTGAAATGAATGAGGGAGGCTTATGTTGAAATTATATGATTTTATGCAGTGTACGTCTTGTAATTGCAGGGAGCTTCTTCCGTTGACACAAAGGTCCAAGTATAACTTCGTTCACTAGTGATTCAGTTGAGAAGTGTTGCAAAATTTGGAAGGACTAATGTTTTTCCTTCAGTCACAGTTCTTCCTTATATTCGAGAGGTAAGACGATCGTCACTCTCGGACCGACGGGATGTTATAGCTTCTCTCACATGTCTCGTGTTGCACAAGGTGAGTCGACGTCAATCTTTCGTCGTGTATCATCATCTACTTAAATCAATACACTGCCCTTTTCCCTCATCTTAACTTATATCACTCATTCCATTGACCTTCGCTCCATAGGTCTACTAAAAGACTCCGAAGATGAAGATATCAGGTGCACTTGTTGCGTCCTGTGCAATTGCAGTCGTAAGAGGTCAAATAGCCGGGTACGGACAGTGTAAGTATTTTTTTTGGTACTCATGTACGTTGCTAATATTCGATAGGTGGAGGACAGAATTGGACGGGAGCAACGAGTTGTGTATCAGGATTTACTTGCATTTATCAAAATGCCTATTTCTCTCAATGTGTACCAGGATCAGGTTAGCACTACTTTGTTCCAGAGGAAATCTCTGGCATCCACTGATTGTACCAAGTATCTATAACTCTGTCAACAAGCACGAAGACATCCTCTACATCAACGACCAAGCCAGGCACTACTTCCACTACAAGCACGACCACCGCGCCTGCGAGCACCGCTACAAGCATTACTAGCTACGCCAAAACTGCAGGGACTGTATTCCAAATTAATGGGAAGAAAACGTACTTTGCAGGAACGAACTGTTATTGGTGTGGTTTCTTGACCAACAATGCAGATGTTGACTTGGTCATGACCCATCTTGCTGCTGTAAGTGTGCTATAAGCCTACTTTTGTCGTTGTCTAACGCGTCTTAGTCTGGACTCAAAGTTCTTCGAGTTTGGGGTTTCAATGATGTCACCTCAGCACAAGGTTCCGGTTCCGTTTGGTATCAATCTTTCGTATCGGGCTCATCGCCAGTAATCAACACCGGTACCAATGGTCTTCAAAGACTTGACTACGTAGTCCAATCGGCTCAAGCTCATGGGATTAGTCTTATCATCAATTTTGTCAACAACTGGAATGATTACGGAGGAATGCAAGCATATGCCACATACTACGGCATTTCCTTGACAGATTGGTACACAAACGCAGCAGCTCAAGCTCAATACAAAGCATATATTGCTGCAGTGGTAGCTCGCTACAAGACGAACACCGCAGTTTTCGCTTGGGAACTTGCTAATGAACCTAGATGTACTGGATGCGCTACATCAGTGATCACAAATTGGGCAATCAGCATATCGCAGTATATCAAATCTCTCGACCCCAACCACATGGTCACAGTCGGAGACGAAGGATTCGGTCTCACCGTAGCAAATGATACTTCCTACCCTTTCACTTCCGGTCCCGGAACATGGTTCACCGACCTCCTTGCCATTCCCACCATTGATTTCGCTACTATCCATCTATACCCTGGTTCGTGGGGCGAGGTTGATTCTTGGGGATCTTCTTGGATCTCCAGCCATGCTAATGTCACTGCCGCTGCTGGTAAACCACTCGTTTTGGAAGAATATGGTGCTACGACTCATCTCAATGAACGACCGTGGCAAGGAACTGTTCTTAGTACTGCGACTGCTGGAAGTATGTATTGGCAATATGGTGATACGCTTTCGACGGGACTGACTTCGGATGACGGTAATACGATTTATTATGGAACGGCGGAATATACAACATTGGTAAGTTGAAGTTTGAAATGGCGAATGATGATTTTGATGCTAATTTATGAATAGGTCACCAACCATGCTGCTGCTCTGAACGCAAAAGTTGTTACCTGATGAGGGAGAAGTTCTGAGGACCGAAACAAAACAAAAGAAAAGAAAGGAAGGCGGAACTAGGACTGTACATAGCTTTCTTAGCTGTAAATACATATTATATACCGTCGTTCTCATCCCAGTCTCCACACCATGAGCCCTCATCCCTCATAACCATAAATCTTCTATAATTCAATCGTCTTCCCTTTCCCGGGCCTAACCATCATGCATTCTACAAAATCCCCCTTCTCTTCCACAGGCACCACCAATCTACTCCTTTCCTCAAAACCAAAATACTCATAAACCGCCTTCCCCACCGGACTAGCCTCCAAATAAGTCTCCACCCCCTCCTCATCCGCCCTCTCCAACCCCCACCTCATCAACTTCCCCGCCGCCCCCATTCCCTGGCCCTCCGGCTTCGTCGCCACAAACTCTAAATACCAATGTTTCCTCTCCCCCATGATTTCCCTCCGCTTCTCAATCAATGTCCCGAAAAAAAGATTCGCAATTTCCTCATCACAGCCTGCAGGCCATGCAGGTAAATCATGAAGTGTGGCTAGAGGTGCAGATGAGTCGTTCCATTTAGCATAGGAGATGATTTCTTGAGTGGGGGACGAGGCATCGTAGATGCAGAGGAAGTGAGATGAGGGGTCAAGTATCTCGGAGAGGATGGAGTTTCGCCACCAGGTAAAGGAGGAAGGTAGGGAGCGTGGGAAACAGATGAGGGAGATGGGGTCGTGGGCGAAGGCGGAGAAGAAGATGGCTGTTAGGCAGATGGCGTCGGTGGTGGTTGCGGGACGGAGAGTTAGTTGCATGGTGGGGTTTGGTTTTGTTTGGGCTTGGGGTAGGGTTTTGAGGTTGGGGTTTTGAGATGGTTGGATTGTGTGGAGGAGAGTGATGATGTATCAATTGTCACTGAGAGACTTATTGCTGAGCTTTTATTGTTTTAATTGAATACTATCTGTATACTATAAAGGGAAAGTCTTTCGCTGTCGTCGTCGGAGTGAGTCAGCTCCACTCTCCACTTGACTGTGCATTATGATTTGTCATCACTCGTTTAACCCAATATTGTTCAACATCATATCTGTCTACTCCGTCACCTAAAACCAACATCGACATTACAACCACATAAAATCTTGATGCAAACTTCAGCTGAAGATTTTTGACTTGATCTAAAATCTACAACGGCCTCCAAGATTAATGCGGGGCTCCACATTCACAGCTGAGCCTATCTAAGACCCGGTATTTACCCCATTCCCAATCTACCGGTAACTTATCCGAATATAACTCGGAATCTCGCCTCTGTCATCCGGCTTCAGTACCTGGATATAATTAGGCTCTTCAACATCAACAATTGTTGGAGGAAAATAGTTCTCACATTTTAAGACTACAATTTAAATTTCCCATATCCACTCTTCACTACTTAAATTTCTCCATGTTTCATTCAAGCGAATGTTTACATCGAGTACCCGTCCTCATTTCGCATTTACATCGTCGTTCATTATTTTTCCAGCAACCTAAGCCAAGATGAGAGTTCCTTTTGCTACTGTCTTGCTTCCTCTATTCTTCTCTGTGTCTGCGAAAACCGTTCTCGATGTCGAACCGATATACATTGGCGAAGTCTTTGATCCACCTGCGATGTACTTTCTCGCCTGGACCTCTTCAACTCCATCCACCTCCAAAGAAGTAGGCGAATCTACGACATCCCACACACCGGAATGGTGTCGAAGCGCCATCGACATATCGAACAGCGCCAACTTCTCCATTACACATCCCCAATTCACAGGGGGAAACCTAACGAACTTGCGATTCCACAACTATTTCTCAGAAGATGCTTATATCGATCGGAACGGAGAGAAATGGGGCGAATGTTATGTTACACCCGAGAGTAAATATATTGGTGGATGTGGGAATAGCGACCGATGGTTTGGATGGGGAAAATTGACGTGGAGTTGTTGGCCTGTGATTGAGGATGTTAAGCATCATCATATTATGCGGTATGAAGATGAAGATGAAGAGATGGATATTGGGACAATGAGTTTGAGTGTTGGGAGTGGTTATACTGGAGCTATGAAACGGTCTGGAAGGATTCAAGAAACTGGGAAACCGAGGGGTAGTGAAGTGAAGGAAGCGTTTACGGCGGTTATGACGGGGTCAAATTATTGAATGGAAGATAACTTTTTTCTGATTTTTGGTGTACCGGTATATGCTTCCGCTTCGCTTCTCCTCTACTCATCTCTTGTACATAGATAACGCACGGAGTGCCAATTACGGACACGGCAACACAAGTGTACTCTCATACTAATATCTCCGTTCCCACAACTTATGATCCTCATATCTACCATACTTTCCGTCGTCGTTGGATCATCTTTTGTTATCTCTATCATAATTTTAGTATCCTTGAGATATATACTTACCAAAAAAGACTGCAGCAAAAATGGCGTGTGGAAGTATGAAAGCGTAAAGTGTGAAAATGTGAAAATGTGGAAGTATAAAATATACCCCCCCTTCCTCCCCGCTAATATGGAGCTATCAACCCCTTCCCACAAGATGTGCAACAAAAGTGTGAAAACCGCAATATATGCAACAAAAATGTGAAATTTTCTAAGCTATTTTCTCTAGTAGGACGCTACCATCTAGTATGACTGCTACGACTAGTACCCCTCCCTATAAGGCTGAAGTTCTGTAACGGGATCTCGGGCTATTGTCTCTAGTATGTTATGATTACCATCACTAGTATCGCCACTAGTCTCTTCTCTAGTGCAGTACTGACATGAAAAATCATACAATACTGTATATGTGTCATTTGACTCTTAACTCGGAGATGTATAATAATCAAAATATCTAATATCATAAATTACATATCTAATTATCATCTGATAATTACATATACATATATACATCCTTTGCTTACTTACAATATACATTACAACATAAACAAAGTACACACTACCACTACCACTACCACTACTCACTACCACCACTTCTTCCATTTACAAGTAACTTCCGCATAACAACTCCGCATACAAATTATAATAAGCCATTTTCTATTTCGCAACAAAATAGAAACCAATCCCAAAAACAGCTCACTACAGAACCCTCACCACCTCAACGGCATTCCCATATCTACATCTTTGCACAAACTTCTTCACACATACAAACAAACATCTTTATAGAAACATCTTCACACATGAACCACCATGATTATACAATCCAGCAATTATAACCATCCACAAGACGAGAGATCCATCCATCAAGAGAGCGATGCATGTAATCTTATATCACGACCAAAACTCACCATAGCGACGAGGAAGCACAACCCAACATTCCGAGATATCCTGAACGCAAGACTGTAGATTGATAGCAATGTTTTGCCTGATATACGGGAAGACCATTGGGGTAATGGCTAGTCTGTGTGGCGGTAGAGTGTAATGGTGGTGATTATGATGATGGTGATTATGTGGCATGTGAGAATGAAAGACTTGCAATCAATTCCAACTTCCAGTTAAGATATCATGATGAAGGTCGAGGACGATACACCCAATCACAGCGTAGACATTACTCAGGGAAACGTGACAAAATATTTTACAAAAGGAAGTTTGCGACGACGTCTTCCCAGGTGATCGGCATCATGCTACTCCAGCATCTTTATCTTGAGTAGCTTTCCGGTTCTTTTCATAATCACTCCAATTTTCATAGCATATGGATTTTGTTGTTTTTTTTCGAGTCGATATCAGTATTACACAAACACATAAACTTTTGAGCATAAGTTATATATCTAATAGAGTAATGGGTATATGTCTACTAAATTAAAACTTCAAACCCTCCTTCAAAGAGTTAACTCCATCTTACCTTACAATCTTCCCGCACCCTCCCCAAACCCCATCTCTCATCTCTCATCCATTTTCCATTCTCATCATCTAATCTCCCACAAAAATTACAAAAATAACACCAACAGTGAAAAGTAAACCACAATCCCCAATAACAAATCAATTTCATCAAAACAACAATATACCCATATATCCCTCAAATAGAAGACAACTAACCATAATATTCTAATATTCATAGTACAATTTGAAATTGGGATCTTCTCCAAACTCGAGCTCATCCTCAGAGGCAAATTCTAACTGTAGTGCAGCTAGTCTACAGCTCGGATATCTTGGAACAGATATATATATAGTATACCCATGGAAAAAGGATCTAAGCTGAGACTTATCATCTACTCATGAAGTGAATATATAATTTGAAATCAATACTTTTGTTAGAAAGTCATGGGTACTACAGGTATCACAGCACTGCCCCTCTTCTGTATTCACTACTAGCGTACATCTTGTTTACTTATACACTCAATAATATAACTTAGATTCTACACCTGAATATAATCTATATATACTTCTGATAGATTATAAAGCCCATATAATCGATATCTTTACACAACTTGCAATATCAATCAACTTAATTTAAAATAAAATCTTTATTTCTCTTTTTATCCTTTTTGTTTATATATTTCCTAACTTAATTCATTAATATAATATTGTCAAAATCTATTGATATTTCAATTGTAGTTAATACAAATTGGAGTACTATCGTTATCTTCAATAACAACAATTGGAATGAGTTCTATAAATTATATTTAGGTATATTAACTACCACTGATGTTCTAGTTATTATTTAAGGAAATGAAGAAGAATCAGTTAATCCCCTCCATATATCTTCTATTATAGATCTTTATGTTTATAAGAAAAAACATAGAAATATTATCTTTATTATTAATTCTATAATCAACTCTGTTTATTGCTTTGTTCTTATTCCATTTTTTAGTAATATATGATATTATTGGTATATAGAATAAATTGAAAGAATACAATTATATAATTCATTCTCAGTATATTACTAAAGTCAGAAAACAATTTTATTTTGAGGATTTTAATCCAAAAACACAAACCCTATATCAATTCCTCGAATACCTCCTCAATTATCAAAGCAAAACCTCTATCAATA